GGGAACACAGTGGAGGGTGGGAAGCCATGCTGCTGGAGAAGGAGCTGAGAACTTTACATCATGATCCTCGGGCAGCAGGCAAAGAGAGAGACAATGGAATGGGCCTGATGTGGTCTTTTGAAACCTCAAAGCCCATGTGCCAGTGACACACCTCCTCCAACAAGGTCACACCTCCTCCAGCAAGGTCACACCTCCCTCCAGCAAGGTCACACCTCCCCCCAGCAAGGTCACACCTCCCTCCATCAAGGTCACACCTCCCTCCAGCAAGGTCACACCTCCTCCGACAAGGTCACACCTCCCTCCAACAAGGTCACACCTCCCTCCAGCAAGATCACACCTCCCTCCAGCAAGGTCACACCTCCTCCATCAAGGTCACACACCCTCCAACAAGGTCACACACCCTCCAACAAGGTCACACCTCCTCCAACAAGGTCACACATCCTCCAACAAGGTCACACCTCCTCCAACAAGGTCCTCTTGATTTCATCACACCTCCTGATTCCTTCTAGTCCTTCTGAAATAGTTCCACTCCCTAATGACTAAACATTCAAATATACAAACCTCTGGGGGCTGTTCTCTGTCAAACCACCAAGCATGGACTCCGGAGATCAACTCAGATATCAGGCTTTTATGGAAGTGTTGACCCATCTCAACAGCCTCTCCTTTTAAAATGTACATGTATGGATATATTTTTATAGTGTTAGGATCATATAATAACATTGAATCTGGAGCATTTTAGCACATTACTTGAATTATAAAACATTTTAATGTCTGTATCATATTCTGAATATTACATGGTGTAATTTATTGAACAGGTTTTTTGTTTTAGGTTTTTCACACCCATATGCATAAATCCTGTGTTTTTATGTTCTTAGGAACAAAATGCAAAAGAAAATTTATGGAGTCAAAGATGGTTGATATGTCATGCTGTATAGTTTTATGTCAACTTGACATAAGCTAAGGTCCTCTGAGAAATTTCAATTAGGAAAATGCCTCCAGCTGGACTATGGGGGCACACACTTTTAATCACAGCACTCAGGAGACAGAGACAAGTAGACCTCTGTGAGTTCAAGGCCAGCCTGGTTGACAGAGTGAGTTCCAGGACAGCCAGGAATATACATAGAGAAATCCCGTCTTGAAAAACCAGAAAAACAGAAAAGAAAAGAAAAGGAAAGAAAAGAAAATGCCTTCATAAGATGGGGTTGTAAGCAAACCTGTAGGTCATTTTCTTAATTAGTGGTTGATGAGGAAGGACCCAGTTTACTGTGAGTGGTGCCATCCCTGGGTTGGTGGTCCTGGATTCTCTAAGAAAGCAGGCTGAGCCAGCCATAGGGAGCAGGCCAGTAAGCAAAACTCCTCTGTGACTTCTGCATGGGTTCCTGCCTCAGGTTCCTGCCCTGCCTGAGTTCCTGTCTTGACTTCCTTCAGTGATGGGCTATGGTATGGACATGTAAGCCAAATAAATCCTTTATTCCCCAAGTTGCTTTGGTCACAGTGTTTCATTACAGTAGTAGTAAATAAACCAAACTAAGACACATGTTAAGTCTTTTAATGTGTGTACAAAATTAACTTCTAAAATTTTGTATCAATGTGTGGTCCACCATACATGTTTTGAGGAGATGAGATTTTTGTTTGTTGTTTTGTTTTGAAACAAGGTCTCATCATGTAGCTCAGGCTTGCCTTGAATTGATAACTTTTCTGTCTCACCCTCCTGAATGTTGGGATTACAGGAGCATACCACCTTACCTGGTGAGAGGTTTTGGTTTGTTTTTTCATGACATGCTAATCATCTAGGACAAGTTTCTTCTCGTTGTACTAAGTTTTAATTATCTTTTTATAAAATTGTCTAGTTATACATTCAATTTATCAAAATAAAACCTTATAGATAAGTAGAAACAAATAAGAAAAACAAAAAACAAAACAGCAAACAATAACTCTCTAAGCAAGATCTGAACAAGAGCCACCCTACAGATGGGCTGATCTCATGAGGCCCCACCCATTGATAAAGAGTCACAGGCAGTCACGGAATGAGAGAGTGGGACAGTAAGTCTAAGTCTTCCCCAGGGAAGAGCCCAGTGGGTAATCTAATACCAGATGGTCAGCCCTGAAATCACACACGTGCAACGCTAAACAGACTCAGAAGGACGTGTGTGTGTATCACAAACACATACATAGCATATATGTGCTAAATAAAAAGTATGTATATATGTTTCGCACATATATGTTAAAGATATATGTGCTCATATATGTTAAAGATATATACATATATGTGCGTTAAAAAGTTATATATGTGTCACATGTTTAACATATATGTTAAACACATATATATGATAAGAAAGAAGAGAACTTAAATTTGAGAGGGAGGGAAGTGAAAGTGAGAAGGGTTGGAAGGAGAAAAGGAAAAGGAGGATGACATAATTATTTTAATTTTAAAAATTAAAAACAAGAAAATGCTAGCACTTAGGAGGCAGAAGCAGGTGGATTTCTGTGATTTCAAAATCAGCTTGGTCTACATAGTGAGTTCCAGAACAGCCAGAGCTACATAGTGAGATCCTGACTCAAAAAGAAAGAAAGAAAGAAAGAAAGAAAGAAAGGAAGGAAGGAAGGAAGGAAGGAAGGAAGGAAGGAAGGAAGGAAGAAAAAAAGGAAGAAAAAAAGGAAGAAAGAAAGAAAGAAAATTGTTAAATTTCCAAACAGACTAGCTAGGAGAAAAGGGAGGGAGCAGACACAAATCCCCCAAAATATTAAGAATGTGGGAATCACTATTGATCCATTGAAAGGAAAATATTACCACACACATATATGCCAGAGCTTACATAATATGGGTAAATCCTTTCAACAACACAAACAACTACAGTTTATTCCAGAAGAAACAGGCAATCTGAATAGTCATGTCTCTTACGTCAGTCTAAAGAGTTACACCTTAAATCTTTACACCAAGAAATCTTTAGACCTATTTGACGTCACTACTGAAGCCTGGCAAGCATTTGAGCAATAACTAATGCTAATTCTATACAAGTGACTCCTCAATATTAATGATAAATGTATTTCAGCTCATTCCTAAGTCAGCATTACCCTAATGCTCAAACCAGAATAAGCTATAAGAAAATTTTACATACAAATATCTTTATTTTTTAACTGTCAACAACATACTAAAAGAGCAATGCATCATAACCTTGTGGGATTTAGCCCAGGAATTCAAGGTTGGCTTTAATCCTCAAAACTCAATCAATGCAATACACAATATTAACATGCTAAAAAAAAACATATAAGCCATTTCTTTAGATGCAGAAAAAGGCACAAATAATATATGATACTCAGTTGTGATTAATAAAAATCTTTCTGTGAACTAGAAGTGGAGGTAACTGCATCAATGATTAAGTAAATCCATCCTGACACCCACATAAACAGGAGGAACCGTGGTCTTGCTGACCAACCAGCCATTGCAGCTGAGTCAGTGAGCTTCAGGCTCAGTGAGAGACCCTGCCCCAAAAAAATAAAGTTGGGGATAATGAGGAAGGCATCTGAGATTGACCTCTGATCCACGCACATGTGCACACGCACACACACACGCACACACACACACGCACACACACACACGCACACACACAATACACAGGAAATACACACAGAATACACAAAACTGCATTAATGAGAAACTATCAGCTATCATACTTAGTGATGGAAGATTTATAAGATCAGAAACACAGCAAGAAAGAAGGCTCATCAGCTAAAAGTGCTTGCTGCCAAACCTGTGACCTGAGTTCAATCCATCGGATCTACATGGTGGAAGGAGAGGACTGACTCCCAGAAATTGTCCTCTGACCTCCACAGGCATGCTGTGGCATGCACACATGCATACACAGAGAGACAGAGACAGAGATCATAAATGACAGAGAATGTCCACTCAGAAAGCTTCTATTTAACCTTGTCCTGGAAGTTCTAACTAGTGAAATAGAAAAGACTCATAATAAAATAAATAGATGGTGCATATTTTGGACAGGATGAATTTAGACTGTGTTACTAACAGACAACATTGTCATCTGTATAGAAAATCCAATCCAATGTTTTTCTTTTCTTTTATTAATTAAATTTATTCATTTACTTTATATCTGGACTAGTTTCCTCTCCCTCCTCACCTCCCATTCCCTTCCCCCATCACTCCCTTGGTCACTTTTGGCTTATATATCCAGTTAAGCTCCTGAACGTTAAAGAACGTGCTAATCTTGCTGGCCAGTCTGCTCTGGGATCACCTGTCCCGCCTCTGGAGTGCTGGGATTAAGGATGGCATTTGTGTTGGACTGGAGTTCTGAACTCTGGTCCCAACACTCAGCAGCAAGTGTTTTATGCACTGGATCATATTTAGCTTGGTTTTCAGTGCTGTGCAGTCTTGCACACGCTACCCGATTTCTTTACTGCTGGCATACTTTCCCAGACCAACACAATTTTTTCTTTTTCATTTTGTTTTGTTTTTGAGATGGCCTTGAACTCATAGAGATCTGCCTGCCTGTGCTTCCCAAGGGCTGGGAATAAAGGTGTGCACCACCACACTCAGCCCCCAATGCAGACTGAATTTCAGTGGCTTTTATAAGAGGCAACTGTTATATAAATATTTTATGAAATAAAAACATCAAAAAGCTCTTTGAAGCCTGGTGTGGTGGCGTTCGTCTTTAATCCCAGCACTTGGGAGACAGAGGCAGGTGGATCTCTGTGAGTTCAAGGCCAGCCTGGTCTGGAGTGTGGGCTCCCGGGCAGTCAGAGCTACCCAGAGAAACCCTGTCTCCAAAAATCAAAACACAGAAACAAATGAAAAAAAAAGATCTTTGAGACGAGTCATAATCTCTCTATGTAGAAATGGCTTTTTGAATAGGGCTCTTCTGGGCCTAAACCGCGAGACCTGTATTTTACACACTTGGGGAAAATGGGGGCCAACAGTCCTTATTTTCATGGCTAGCCATATTGACTTATTCATGATTCCTAGGACCTTGCTTTCTTTCCAGAGATAGACTACTGTGCATCATCTAACCACGGATGTCAGCATGAGTGTGTTAATGCCCAGAAGTCCGCTGTCTGCCGCTGCCTAAAGGGCTTCATGCTGAATCCAGACGGGAAAACCTGCCGAAGTAAGTGCCCATCCACCATGTTTCTTTCCACCAAAACATTTCCCCTTCTAGGCAGATCCTTAGCACAGTACGTTTGCAGTGGACATTGGTGTTCGTTAATATCCTTCTGCTCCTATTTTCCTGTGACCACTAGAACCTATTGTGTGGGATGTTCTCCTAGAGATTGAATAGACTGGCTCTGATCATGAGATTTGTTTAGCAACTCTGTCTGTGCTGAAGCATCTTCTTGAAGTGAGAGTAGGTTAGGGTTAGGGTTTGTGGAACGTTGAGGGAGGAAAAAAGGCGGGACACAGAGATGGGACATTAAAGGAGCTGCTAAGTGCGGGAACATTAAAGTGTTGGTTTCTGATAGAAAGGAAGAAGGAGAGTAATGCCCTAGGTCATTGCAGCCACACTCAAGGAAAGCAGGGCATCAGCAGGATGGGGGCGAGGACTCAGATGCTTGTCACTTGGCATACAGAGGGGACAGCTAGCAACTAGGGCACCTACTCCAGAGCAGACCTCTAGGCTAGATTCCCAGTGTCTGTGCTCATACACACACACACACACACACACACACCAGGCTGTTCCCAAAGGACACCAGAGTGGTCTCAAACTCACCAGACTGTTCCTGAAGGACACTAGAGTAAACACACACACACCAAACCATTCCCAAGGGACACTAGAGTGGACACACACACACACACCAGACCACTCCTAAAGGACATTAGAGTGGACACACACACATACACACACACACACACACACACACACACACACACACACACACATACATACATACACACACACATACACCAGGCTGTTCCCAAAGGACACCAGAGTGGTCTCACACACACCAGACCATTCCCAAAGGACACTACAACAGAAGCCCTACCAGGTTCTTTATCTTTTACATCAGTGAATCCTCAACAGCTCAGAGTGCTTGGCTGCAGTGGGCTGAGTACAGACTTGTGGAATGGATTGTGTGAGCGAAAGAATTGCTTTGAGATCCAGCACCCTGGAGAAATCACAGCGTGACCATGACATTTGTAAATTCTCTGGATCATTCAACTATCGGTGTATTTCCTCCCTTCCTTCATGTTTTTTGTTTGTTTGTGTTTTGTTTTTGTTTTTGGCCTTTGTTTTGGCTTGTTTTGAGACAGACTCTGGCTATGTGGCCCAAGTTAACCCCAAAAATTGCCACCCCTCTTCCTTCAGCATCTGAGGCCAGCATCATGGCCTAGCCACGCCCCTGTGTGCTACAGACACTTTTTTCCAGGGATGGATGTTTGAGGGACTGAGTGCACCATGGGAAATCAGTAACAGGGATGAGGGCTCTTGGGGAGATAGTTAGATCTGGTTCAGCACAGAGGCGTCATGGTAGCATGCTTCGTGCATTACTAATGGAGAAGAAAAAGTGAGCAAGTCAGGCATGTAGCCATTGATGGAGAGCTTGAGATTCTGAATCTCCTGCCAGACCCACCCCTCCACCCTCCTCCGGAGAGGCACCTGAGGAAGAGTAGGCTCCAAGGACAGGCATTGCCCAAAGATGGGCTGTTTGGTAGGCTGTGTCTCCTGCCAGGGTCCCTCAAGCTCATCCGTGTTTATCTGATGGCGACAGCTCCGTCTCCTAGCCAGCCAGGTGCCCTGGTTGTTTTTTTAATCCAGGAGAACTAGAACTTTTCCTAAGAACTCGTGTCCTCATTTGCCCATCTCTCAATCTTCCTCCTCGTCACTACACTTTCCGTTGTCTTTGCCGTGAGCCCAGGCCTGGACCTCTGAGGTCTGTCCGTCAGAGCTGCCCTGGCTTAATGTTTGCACTCAGTCTTCCATTATGGCTGGCAGCTAGGAGTGGGAGGGAGCGCTCGTGGTCTCTAGAGCATAACATGGCAGAGGGAAGCAGAGCAATTGGCTTAAAATCTGAGATTTGTAATTAGGAATCTAAGATCTCCCAAGTGCTCTGGATCTTACAGATGCTGGGCCATTTACATGTAACAGGAGGCTGGTGGCTATTTTCAAATCTAATTAAAACCAAATCTGTTTCGAGAGTACTCAATATCATCCAATTAAACTGGGGAAAGTAGTTCGGGGCAGCGCCATCCTGAAGGAAAGTCCTTGGCCAGGACTCAGTCTCCCTTGTCACCTCCCGCTAGACAGAGAGTGCTGACACTGACCACGAAGGTGGTGATGCAAAGCCTGGAGCCTCAGCAGACTCTGAGGCTGAGTCGATGACAGATGTGGTCCAGGGGGTGGACTCGGAGATTCTGGACTCCAGTACTCAGGTTGGGGTTCATCATAGCTGAAACAGCATCCTTAAGAGCGGTGTGAATTCCCCAGTTGTTCTGGGCTCTGAGTCACGAGGTCCCGTCCGAGCATGGGCATTCACACCAGCAATGTCACTTCGGATCGACTCCTTTTACTCCTCTGGACCTGGACTCCCTAAATGAATAGTTTGGACTCTCCGTGTCAACATTTTTAACCTTTCAGATTTTCTGGAATTTCTTCTCTGGCCTTTCATCTGGCATCATAACTTGATATGCAGGATTGCTCATTCATGGTTTCTGTCTGGGCTTCTCAGCCAGCCTCCAACTTTATGAACAATGCAACAAGGACATTTATTATCTAACAATTCTGACATCTGACTTTGGCATGCCAGACCCTACCCGGATGAAGTTACATCTGTGCCTTTGGTGTCTAATGTTCCTGGTTCCTCTCTGCTGTGTTGCCAGAGCACAAACCATAGCGGGGCTATGGCAATGCTCACATTGGCATCTACACTTCTAACTTAGAGCCTGGCCCTTAGCTGGTAAATGACTGAATGAATGATGATTCCTGGCTTGCCTCAGCAAGCAGCACCCACCAGCTCTCTCCGTGGGGGCTGTGGGAACCCTGGAGTCTGACCTTATAGCCTCATAGCGTCTGATGGAGGGTCTTCACTTTCTCCCCTAAGGGATCAACTACTGTGCACTCAACAAGCCGGGCTGTGAACACGAGTGTGTCAACACAGAGGAAGGCTTTTACTGCCGCTGCCGTCGGGGCTATACCCTGGACTCCAATGGCAAGACCTGCAGCCGTGAGTGTGCCCAGGGGTATGGATGCTGATGGGTGGGGTCCATGCACAGTGGCTCATTATCAGCCGTGCCCTTCTACAGCTTCAGGGTTTCCTGAATTTTATAACCCATCCAGTGGTACTGATAGTATTACAACGGTTGAGCTGTAATATTGAAGAGAATCCATATAGGGGACAGGGAGATTGTTCAGTGATCAAGAGCCCTTGCTGCTCTTATAGAAGACCTGGATTCCATTCCTAGCACCCACAACTGCTTGTAATTCCAGTTCCAGGGGCTCCAACACCCTCTTCTGACTTCCATGGGCACCAGGCATACATATAATACACATCCATATAGATAGGCAAAATTCTAGTAAACATAAAATAAATAAAACCAAAAATAAAATTTAAGAAGCTGATATGTGCTGAGTCCAGCAGTGCACAGTGGGCGGTCTCAGAACTCGGGAGACTGAGGCAGAAGGACGTGAGATCAAGACCAGCATGGGGAACTCGGGAAACTGAGGCAGAAGGGCATGAGTTCAAGACCAGCATGGGCTCTGCAGAGAGACAATATCTCAAAAAACTGAGAGAACGAGATCGAGGAGGGTGTGGATAAATAAATAGATCCATGTGTAGGGGTTGAGGGCATAGCTCAGTCAGTGGAGTGCTAGCCTTGCTTGCACAAAGCCATGGGTTCCATCCCCACGCCACATAAAACAGGAGGGAGGGGGAAGCCAGGAGAGAGAGAGAATATGTGTAGACCGCTTAGAATGGGACTGCCCGCTGCTATTACTCTTTGCTATTAAAAGCATTTACTAAGTCAGACAGGCCGGTATTCAAATCTAAGCTCTGTCACATGCTACACATGTGACCTCAGACAGGTTATTCTCCAAGCTTTGATTGCCTGTCTGTTTTAAAAAATGAGGATGCTAATAGTATTGACTCCCCAGGTGGTTATGAAGAGTAACAACCATTTCAATGGTTTCAAACTCTTGGCCTAGTGCCTGGTTTGTGGCAAACATACAACTAAAGACAAAAGATAAACATGCATATCACCTGTGAGTGTGACTAATGCCTGGTACCAGGCTGGGACAAGAGGCCAGAAGCGGTGGACCTTGGGAAACTCTGCACTGCCCAGGCTGATGTGAGGACAGGATTAGGCGACATGAGACTTTTGTAAAACCTTTACTTAATTAAGTTCCTTGTATTAAAACCACAACAAAGCTTGGTGATATAAACAGAAGAACTTTCAGGTCTTGCCAGCTGGAGGGGCCCATAACTTTTTTTTTTTTTTTTTTTGAGGTACGGTTTCCACAGGTCCAGGCCAGCGGGATGAGATTTTGTGGGGATTGTGATGGATCGTAGGGCCCTGGCACACTAAGAGCTGGGGCTAGTGACGTTGGCCTACATAGAAGGGTCCTCTCGTGTGGCCTTGCACCTATTACACTGTGTGTCTGCTTCAGCTCCGCAGACAGAAGTGGACTGTGAGTGGGAACACTGCAGCTGGTGGCCCTTGATTGCCAGGAGGGCCAGTTCCACAGCTGACGTGTGAGATACAGAGCCAGCCTGGGGCAGCCCCGTGCTCCACCGTCTGCAGAGGAAACAAAGTGCCTCGACTTGGCTTTCTCAGCATGACCCTAACTTTCCTAGCCTGCCCTGGTGGTGTTTTTCTTTCAGCTTAGCAGTTGCACCTAAATCTACTCATATTTAACCACTGTCTGAGTCCTGCACACCATAGTCAGCACCCCACCCCTAAAACCTTGGCCTGGCAGGATTTCAAGTCCCACTGGCACTGGCTGGACCACTGTTGTGACCACCAAATGTAGGTTTTAGCTAAGTCTCTATTCTGTTTACCAATAAAGAAGTCAGATGTTAGGGTGAAAACCTGATAGATCAGAGAAGCTGAGACCTAACTCACCGACTTTCCCAAGCCAAAAAACAAAACAAACAAACAAAAAAACCCAAAAAACCCCATAAACAAACAAACAAAAAACCCCACAAATCTTTAAGTCCTTCCCTACTCCTTCACTCTCTCTATGGCTAATTCTTGTCAACTCTACCTCCCATCCAAGCTTAATTCTATTAACACAGTCTCAGAGTTTTACAGTGTGATCAAAAATCTTGCAACACCTTGGGGAGTCTAGAAGAGCCCAGAAGAGATGGGGGTCTTCTTCTGTTAAAACTTTTAGAACACTTAAACCAAGCTATTTCCATCCAGAAGTTTCCAGGGGAATAAAATCCACGCAGTTCTCAGGCGTGATGACGGCACAGTTGTGAACACCTCCAACATCCTCGCTCTCACACGCCTCCCGTTTTTTAAATGGCAGAATCAGGATGTGAGCGTGGGCTGGTGGTTCCTGAGATGCTCTAAGTGTTTTTGTGGGTGTGTCTACTGGTGGATTGTTCCAGAAGCCTCTGGTCCTTCAACCACGCAAGAATGAAAAGACTTATCTCAGTGGGCCATCATGAAGTCTTCAGTGTCTGTCCAGTTGATGGAGGGTGCACTTTCTCCATTCAGTAAATCTGGGAGGCAGCCCAGGGGGCTCTCTATGGGAGCGTCCGCCCCAGCTGTTTTCCTGACCTTCAGCAGTCCCTGCCCAAGGACCAGCTGTATCGGATTTGGGTGCCAGAAGGGGCCACACAGACAGCAAAGCTTTTGTTTATTGTCTGAATCTGGATGTCCTGATCAAGAGAATAAAAAAAAAATCCCTTTTTTCTTTTTCAAATAAAAATAAATTACACAATGATTCTTCCTGAGAACTACTTAGTAATAATAACAACCATTCGTTAAACAGTTGCTGTATGCCAGCCGCTGTTTGGAGGGCTTCAGATGTATCTAACTTTCACTACATTACCCCCAGAAATGAACCACCAGGCGCCTGGGGAAGAAACCCAGTTGGTGAAGCATCTGCTTTGCAAGCCCTGGTCCGAGATCTACATCCAGAGCCCAGGTAGAACAGCAGGCAAGGCGGCCTATGCTTGTAATCTCAGCACATGACAGGCGGAAGCAGAATGCTCCCTGTTAGCCACCCAGTCTAGACTAATCGCTGGACACCACGCTGGTGAGAAAGACCCTGTCTGAAGGAGGTGGACCACATTGCACGAGAATGAGAAAGTGGTCCTCTGGCCTCCACACGCATGCTCACACACATGAGTATGTAACCCATGAACACATTAAAAAAAGAAGAAAGGAGACTGCCACCATCTTCAGTTCAGAGGTGACAGCCCAGAGAGGTTACATCCGTCCAGTATCACAGCAAGGACGTGGGATTCGGCGCTGGTCTAGTTTGCTTCTCTGTCGCTCTGATAAATGCCGTGACCAAAAGCAACCTATGGAGGAAAGAGATTATTTCCGCTTATACCCCCATGTCACAGTTAATGACTGAGGGAAGTCAAGGCAGGAACTGAGGCGGAGGCCACAGAAGAATGCTGTGTTCTGGCTTGGATCCAGTTCATATTGGGCTCATGTTCTTACACTTCTCAGGACCACCTTCCCTGGGTGAACCTTATTCACAGTGGATTGTGATCAATCAACAATTAAGAACATGCCACATGTACCCAAAGGTCAATTTGGTGGAGGCAATTCCTCAATGGAGGGTTCCTCTCCCCAAGTGACTCTGAGTTTGTGTCAAGTCCATTGGAGCTGGCTGTGACATGGAGCAAGGCTGATTTCCTCTCCCCAAGTGACTCTGGGTTTGTGTCAAGTCCATTGGAGCTGGCTATGACATGGAGCAAGGCTGATTTCCCAGCATGTCCAGTTGTATGAGGTAGAGTGGAACCTTCCCTGTGGCTGCAGTTGTCGCCAGGAAGGCTTTGGCTGATGGTCAAGCACTGGCACCTCAGTCCCTTTATGTTTTCCTGTGTTTGTGATTAATGCAGGGGTGGACCACTGTGCACAGCAGGACCACGGCTGTGAGCAGCTATGTCTGAACACAGAGGAATCCTTTGTCTGCCAGTGCTCAGAAGGCTTCCTCATCAATGATGACCTCAAGACCTGCTCCAGTGAGTCCCCCTTTCACCTCTCCACTAGGGAAGGGTTTGCCCCAAGATCAGCATGTTCTCCTCTGCCCTCCAGGGAGACTATGGGGAATTCTGCAGGGGACCAGTGCTTTTAATAGCAATAAATGTGAAGTGTTACTTAATTCCCATCGCAGCCCAGAAGCCTCACAGACGGAGGCCCCAGGGATCTAGCGTGGCTTTGGTTTTACAGGGGCAGATTACTGCTTGCTGAGTGACCATGGTTGCGAATACTCCTGCGTCAACACAGACAGGTCCTTTGCCTGTCAATGTCCTGAGGGTCACGTGCTCCGCAGCGACGGGAAGACCTGTGCAAGTAAGTCTGATCACATGTGAGATCCTGGGACAGACAGGACTCAGCACAGGCCCTTGTAGGTGCTCATGGACGGCGACACATTCATCCTGAGTGTCCGCTCAGGCTTGACTGGGGCCCTGGTTATATGTGTGCCTGCATCTCAAAGCCAGACTTCTTTCCCATGACCCTGGAAATGGCTTATGCGGTCTCCACACCCTGCCTCACCACCATTATGAGACAGGCCCTCGCTCTTGGCATGTGGCTGTGGTATGAGTTGTGATTTGGCTATACTTAGATTTATGTTCGAATTTGGTTGCCATTATGACACATCTGAGACATGAAACTTTTCCAAGGCAATTATGTCGACAGGATGGATTAATGCCTTTCTCAGGGAAGTGGACTGGTCATAGAGAATGGATTCTTGTAAAGTGGCATCAGTCCCTCGGTCTCCACCTCTTTTGTTCATAATTCCTCATCTTTGGGCTGTTCCCACCACAAGATGAAGCAGAATAAAGCCCTAATATCCTAAACTTCTGTTCTTCATCTAATTCTATCCATGTCTTGTGAACAGAACCACTGAGAACACACACTCTCAGACACACTCCACCCCCAGCCAATCCCGCCCATGATCAACAATACAGAAACTTGCCAGTTGCCAGCTGGCTGCATGCCAGGCCAGGCTGAGCACTGTGCGAAGCACATGCCGTCACACCGCAGCGGCAGAAGGAATAACTGTGGCTCAGACTCAGGAAAGAGTCTGAGATGGCCCTCAACTAAGTAGGGGCTCTCTCTCTGTGAGAACCCAGTTACTTCTGAACGGGAGATGTCTGAGAAATCCTTGTCTTCTCTCTCACCTTTCAGCACAAGGCCAGGTCAGCAGTGACAGTGTCTAGGTAAATGTCTCCTTGTAGCCAACTCTAACGCCCCTCTCCATTTAAAAAGACCACAACCAAAACTCCAGACTCCGTCGTCTCTCCCCCTCAAGAAAGCCATTGTGCCTTCTGCCCCATGTTCCTATTTCCAACTGAACCGAGATCAAAGACCAAGAGCCGTTTGAGAGAAAGTGTCAAAATGGAAGCGAAGACCATACTTTGCTTCCACTGGCTACTGCCTTTCTGGTTACAGGACCAAGTTCCTTGGCCACTGATACAACCATAGGTCCGGCACCGTTTTTTATCATCAACTGTTCACATGGGCGGATGTGCTGTCTGCACAGATGTGCAACAATAACTGTGTTTCTTGTGAGAAAATATTTTCCCAGTTTGGGATGGATTCTTGGATCTTGGCAAGTCCGTGTTGCAGCTTGCTTGTGGATCCCTGCCCAGCGGCTCACACGGTGCCGCTGCAGCCAACTCTAATAGGGCCTGGGCACTGGGGGTGTGGAAAAGGGTAAGTTAAATACCATCTATACTTGCCTGCCTGCCAGAGTCAGATGCAAGGGGATTATGGATGTAATTCCCTATTGTCTTAGATTCCTCACGCCCCTTCTTTGTTCTCTTCAGTCTGACAATCAAGAACTGAGTGGGAGATAATTGTAGGACTTCTAAAATCTCACAGAATCTGAAACCCTTGCCGACCCTCCGTTCATTCGCCGGCCCCTCTCCTAATCAGAGTTTTTCCTTCACCATCTTTAAACGCCACCTGTTTTCTCATTTAAAGAGTAAACTTTGTGACTAAAGGCATAGTGTCATCATCTGTATGAGTGAAAGTCCAGCAACTGCAAGGGAACGTTGTGTCTGGTTGGGTGGTTATGAGGACATGCGAGGTACTCGGATCGGCACAGGACAGACATGTATATCCCGCCAGAGCTGTTCCCCTCACGGAAGACTTTCTGTCTGCTCTCCAGTGATTCAGTCCAGCTGCTCCATCCTGTAATCATGGCCTACGTTTCCAGTGTGGTCATAGCTAAGAGCGGTTGGGATGAGTGTTTCCCTGCCCCGTGCCAGATGACACAGAGCCAGATAGCATGACTGTACCTTTTCAGTTAGAACCTGGTGGACGGGGGATGGGGATAGCTGGGGTCTGCTAGGCCTTGATCAATAGATGAGGGTTTCCTTGACAACAGATGATCTGAAGAGCCCTTCACCCATTCTCAGAGTTGCCTGAAGTATAGAGAGCCAAAGTCCAAGTCTCCAGGCCCCTGGGACCAAGTAGATACTAGAGTGAAGTCGTCCTGTCCTCTTAGTCCTCTGTTCTAGCTGTAGTAGGTACTGGGGTGAAATCCTCTCCTCTCCTCTCGGTCCTCTGATGCCAGTTCTGGCTGTGTAGATTCGGAGTGGGCTGGGGGGGGGGTGTCCTCTTCCAGCAGCAGCTTAGGGCTCTCTTTTCCTCACTAAAAGTTTCTTTTTTTATATTTATTTATTTATTATGTACACAATATTCTGTCTGTGTGTATGTCTGCAAGCCAAAAGACGGCACCAGAGCCACCATGTGGTTGCCGGGAATTGAACTCAGGACCTTTGGAAGAGCAGGCAATGCTCTTAACCACTGAGCCATCTCTCCAGCCCCTAAAAGTTTCTTTTAAAGGCAACTCGTGCAAGATCCACACAGTGCCAGACATGACTCCATAGGCCCACTATGCATGGAGTGCACAATCTGCTGTTCGCAAGTCCTTCAGAGTCAGAGGTCAGGTCTTGTCTGGAGTCAGAGTTCCCAGGGCCCAGCCTTGCAAAGGTAGTGGATAGAATGGGGTAGGGAATGAGCAGAGACTAGCTCGCTCTCCTCTGGTGTTGTGACTCCTGGTGCAGGCTTCACTGCACGCTCAGTCACCTCCAAGGGCTCCCTACTGCCTCCCAGAACAAATTCCATCGACAATCCTTGACTGGGAAAGCCCCCTTTTCCACCTGTGAAGGCCTTTCCCAGGATGTCCTCATAGCTCCCTAGGTGTCAGCTACAACAGTCCCTGACCAAACACTATCCTCTCTCCATTGAGGACAGCCTCCCTGCATACAGAAACCCAGCCAGCCTGTCACCAGAAGCAGCCTCATGGAAACTTCCAACTCCCTGACCAACGGGTGACGAGTTCTTCCTCCCACCCCCCACCCCCCGACACCTGTGCACAGGTGTGAAAGGGAACAGGGTAGATAGAATATAGAGTATGGAGCTGGGATCTAAAACCCAAATTCACATACTGTTTCTAACCCGGGCAAGGAAGCTGACTGACCCTTCCTGTGTGTCTGATCGCTCACCTTCAAACTGGGAACAGTTATTTCTGTCTTTCAGAGTCCCTGTGTGACACACAAACATATATTCATAGGCATGTTTTGAGAATGTGTAGTGGGCCTTAAACTCTATGACACCCCTGTCAGTTCTCACTCCTCAGCTTCAGGTTCTTTACCGAGAGGTCCAAAGGGAGCTCCATGTAATTGCTGTCTGGAGACCCATCTCCCAGGGACGGGCCCAGGCACACTCTCCTCGTAGGGCTCAGAGACACCCAACTCTGGAAGCTGGCAAGCTCAGTAGTCTATGCATCGCCCTAGCAGGGCACTGTTTGGATAGAAGCCATACTCTTAAAGCCTCGGGGATCCAGGTGGCCACACTGCCAGTCCAGGTACCACAGGCTGATCTAAAAAGGCCCCTTCAGCCCCACAGTCCTAACTCTCCAGCCTGCCCCCAGTGTCTAAGTCTGCTTAGATACAGACTCTGTGTTGTTTCCTAACCACAGAACTGTCTTTCTCATCGTGCTGGAGGCTAGAAGTCTGATGCCGGCGTGGAAATGCCCTGGAGAGGGCTTGCCCCCACCAGTGACTGTGTCCTCTCATTGAGGGAGACAGATGGAGACAGGGAACGGATGACTGAGCTCTTCGGTATCTTTTTAAGAAAATAAAAACACTAGCCCGGGGCTGGCAAGATAACTCAGTAAAGTGCCTGCCATGTGAACCTGGTGAGCTGCTTGATGCCGAGAATGCACAGAGACAGACGGGGGAAAACTGACTCCAGAGAGTTGTCCTCTGGCTTCCAGTTGGTACCACGGCACATGTGCTCCTATTACATTCATATACACTTCTGCTGACGGTGGTGATGATGATGATGATGACAATAATCATAATAATCTAAGAAAAAGAACCTTATCTGGGCCCCACCCTTGTAACCACAATCAAACCCAACCACTTCCCAAAGCCCTGCCTCCAAATACTATAGGGATTAGGGGACCAGTTTATGAATTAAGTATTGAGGGATGCAGTCCAATAAATAGCATGAATGAGGACGACCTTCACTTCAAGATGTCCTCGGGGGCTTCAGCTTTAGAACACATGAGCAGAATGTGTTGGTCTGGAGCATAGCTCAGTGTGGATGCCTCTCAGTTTGAGAAAAGGTTTCCACAGAGGCACCAGAGGGTCGGCTGCCCCTGCTGGAGCTGTCATGTTAGCAGTGGGTCTTAGGTCACCTTCTTGGCAGATTGCCACCATGGCCATCTCCCTCTGGGGTCAGGTGTGTTTTAATTACATCATATGTGGAGTTCAGAACCCGACCCGAGGGTGCTATCTAAGTCTGAGTATCCTGACATATCACCCCATAATTCCCACAACCCCCATACCACATGCAAGACTCACCTGGTATATAACTTAGATGTGGGAAATACAGTTTATGGCAGTGTGCCAGGACTCCAAAACCTGAGCTATACTGTGAAACGTCTAGCCATCCCGGCCGCAGATGGCAAACCCCGTTCACAACGAGGCTTTAGTTAGATGTGTGGCCTGCCTCCCCCATGTGAACAGAAAAGAGAAAGGCATTCCTTTTCTTTTCTTCTTAAACTTCTCTTTTTAAGATTTATTTGCTCATTTTATGTATATGACACTATCTGCATATACAATTTTATGTCAGAAGAGGGCATCAGATCCCACTAGATGGTTGGGAGACATCATGTGGGTGCTGGGAATTGAACTCGGGACCTCTGGAACAGCAGCTGCTCTTAACCACTGAGCCACCTCTCCATCCCCAAGAATGTGGGACCCCATTCTTGTGTGACTCAGTTTCCATCTGGAGTCATTTCTGGCTTGAAGAACTCATTTGACTTCAAGCTTGCCTGCTCTACTTTTTCTTATGAGCTTGAGGGCTGTGAGAGACTTCTGAGTTAGCCCATGAGAAAAGAACACTCTATCTAGTAGACAGGATACTGCTGACGATAAACCCCAGGAACATCAAGATAGAAAGTAAGGCTGCTCCTGAGCAGCAAGGGCATGTTAGTTAGGAGGCTGCTCGCTCAAGGACAGGGATGTCCTTGTGGTCAGATACTGACTGACTGTGCTGTGCTTTGTTCTGCCTTTGTACATAAGCAAGCTCTGAAATAAGCTCTGGGCTGTTTGGCTGCGTTGGCATGACCAGACAGACCTCCCTATTCTGTCCTGTCTTCTGTTTCTTTCATCTTTCCTTTGGTCTTGAGGATCCCCTGTCCAGGAACCCTAGCTGACTTTACAGGAGTGGGCTCCTACACAAGAAGGCATTTCTTTGAGTGGGAGATGCTTTCTTCCTGAGATGTCTAAGCCTTCCACCCCATTCTACATCAGCACTGATTAGTAATTGAGTCTGACTCATCCCCTTCCCCAGGCTGGAGCCTCAATGCTTGCTCAAGCACTTATTCTTTCGCATCTTTGCATGTGGTTTGTCAGGTGCTCCTGGGATTGAACTAATTCAATTTTTGCCCCATCAGTGGTTAACTTTTCTCTGGAAGAGATATTTAAGATGTGTCACCCAATCTGGGTGGTGACCACCGGGATGCAGGCAGAACCGTCGTGAGAGCGTGGAGTAGGAGACTCTCCTGAGTTCAGGGAAAGATGTTTAATCCGATGCGAGAGACTCCGTCAGGGGAGACAGTCACAGGTGCAACACAAGAGCTTCCCAGACGTGGTCCACGGCCTGTGCAGGTCCACGATCTGGACAGGCCATGGGGAGGTCAGTACACTGAGTGCCAGAGGGAGCCACAGAAGCAGGTAGGGACTGTCACCTGTAGCACAGAGAGGTCACAAACTTTCTGGAACCTACCTTGAGCAAACTGTTCCTTTGTCTTCCCAGAGTCTAACCAGACTGATTAGCCCTGTGGAGCTAAGATGACCAGGAAACACAGAGGGGATAGATCTGTGACCTACCTGGGTCAGTACAGCCAAGACAAGTCACATGTGCAGGTTAAGGAGCCTTGAGAGTGTCACGTGTGCTTGCTGGCCATCAGTGTCCTCCCCTCTAAGGTGGAGTTGGACCAGCATATTTCCCGTGTCCTTTCCAGTCTCCAAATATAGATAGAAGTGGGCACGGGTCATCAGTCCGCAATGCTTTCTAACCAAGTACAGTCATGGTGCACACAGCTTCCCCAGGATGGTGGTTACTCTAGTGCAAAGTCAGAGATGGCAGTGGTGGCTGCTTTCCTTCCTTCAGGAGGCACGGAAGCACAGGCCCACCGTGGAGTATCATCAGCTCTGGGAGAAGCCGAGGCCAAGTTGGTTTCCAAAGTGGAAGCACCAGAGCCTGTGGGCAGGAAGTGAGTTCTGTACACATTTACCTTTCCACACATGCTTGCTAAGCCAAACTCCAAAGTCTGCATCTCAGGTCTGATGTCAAAGTGCCCTTCAGATCTCCAACTCCTGTTAGCTTTGTTGACTCGAACAAACTTTGCTTCCTTGGGCGGGGTCTGTTCCTTATTAGCAGCTTTCCTCAGCCATGACCCACTTCCTCCAACAAGGCCACACCTCCTAATCCTTTTAAAAAGTGCCACTCCTTGCTAACTAAGTGTTCAAATATGTGAGCCTATGGGGGCCATTCTTATTCAAACCACCACAATTACATAGGGAAGGTCCTCGTTATTTTCATAGCTGTGTGATGTTCCATTGCGGTTGGCCAGTCCCGTTTCTAAACACTGACATTGACTCCTGCATTTCACCCTTACAAACAGTGATGCAGTCAATAATTTGGAAGTACATTCCTTTACGCGGTACAAGGACACCTGCAGAAGGGAGTCCCTAAGTGAAGCTACGGTGTGAAAGGTGCATTCTGTAGCATTGCAGACACTGCCCAGCACCCTCCGTAGGCAAGTTTGCCCTTTAGTACAGCTGACTTTGGTCTTAAGCAGTCATATGCAGAAGCCTCCTAGGACTGACTGGGAAGATGCCCCAGGGATGAGCAGAAGAAAAGCTTGAAAACTCTCCATTACTTTAAAGCATGCCCACGATAACAGTTCCAGGAGAACTGAGGAGCTGGGCCGGGAGCTGCTGGCACGGTATATAGCCCGAGGCTGAGGGATGTGACCCTGTGGGCACGGGCTGCCCTCAGATAAAGAACAGTGCCACCTGACAGGCACAGGCTTGGGATGCTGGGGCTCAGTAGGCTAAGTCTCCAATGAGGAAGCCCCTATAATCTTCACGAGATGAGCTTGGGCTGTAGCTAGTGGAGCAGGGCTGGGTTGAGAGTCCCAGACAGAAGAATGTGCTCAGAGGGTTCGCTCTGGATCGGGGCTTGGCAAGAGTATCCTGAGAGAGCTTCTGCTGTTTTTTAACCTTGGAAATTGGAGTATTCTTATAAATTCATGGGGATGGAGGGGGAGCTGTTGGAGCTATGGATCACTTAGTGGTACTTCTAACTATGCGAGGAACTAGTCCAGCCACAGGGAAATGTTCTGCCTGAGTAATGAGTCCAGAATGTGCCCAGAGGAGAAAGTCACGCTTAGAGCAAACCGGAGTGCCCAACTGCTTAGAGTCTCCTCTGCAGTTAAAATTCCAGCTAACATCATTTTCCCATTGTTCAAAGCTTTGGGCAGTGTTCCTGCCCAAAGAAATGCAAGACTCCCCCCATGTCTGAAAGCTTAGCAGATGGTAGTGCTGGGTGTTGTTGGGGAAAGTCACGGGCTTCATTACCGAAAAATAACATCTTTCATCTGGTTCTTCCACTGACTAGCAAGTAGTCTTGGCAAGTTGTAATCAGTCTTTCTCAACCGTAGTTTCTCCTGCTGGCTGATAAGGATAACACTTAACTAGCCTACAGGGTAGCTCTCGGGACTCCCCCTTCTCTGAGAATGCTGCAATAATGCTCAACAACAACAAAAAATAGTGTAGGTGGGTTCTTCCCGAGCATCACTGCTGCCATGTGCCTTTAGACACTTTGGGGCATGCCCTCTGTTGAAATCCTGTTCATTTTCTAAAGGGCTGGGTTAGCTTTCAGTTAACTGTATGGCTGTCACCAAATGTCAGTGTCCTGGTCCTCAGTTTCAAGCTTTGAACCGTCAGCCTTGTTTCCACAAGGGCACAAACCCTCTAGTTCCCAGAAGTCACCCAGCTGTATAAACAGCAATGATGTCCTTCAGTAGCTCAGTGACTTCCAGGTTGTCCTGGACTCTCCCGTCCTGGCCATATGAAGGTAGTCATTTCATTTCATTGTTGAAAAGAACAGAAGTTGACACAAAATTACCCTTTTAGATGAACTTCATCAGGAGAGATCACGGGCAGCTGTGATCAGGCCAGGACATGGGAGGGTGGAGAAGCTGAGGAGAGAGCCCTCCACTCTGAAGAACAAAGGGTATTCTTAGAGGACAGTGGAAATGGCCTGCCTCCATACCATGTGATCTGCTTGGGCCTGGCACCGACAAGAGTAGTTAGCGTTCCAGGGTTGCCTGTGGTCTAGGAATCAGGGTGGCCAGGCTTTCTCACAGCTGTAAGAGGGAAGGAGAAAACTACCAGGGAGTCAGGCTTCAGGGAGGGGTGGCCTGTTTCTGGAAGGGGGAGGGAAAGGCAACTAGAAGATCTGTGATCTAAAATCAGTGCACCAGCAAATCTTATAGGTTCTACCTTCAAAACATAGCCAGTCCAACCACGTCATCGCCAGTGTTCTGGGCCAGCAGGACCGTGGCAGTAGGCTGAATCCATCCCTCTGTATTCCTTCTCTACCCTCACACCATTCTGTACTTCAAAACACAGCCAGACTTGGGGATCCTACTGCTCGAAGCATCCTGTGACTGCCCTTCTCCCTCAGACATGCCCTGCTTGTCTATGCTGTGTCCTGCCTACTATGCCCCTATGCTGTGTCCTGCCCACTCCTACCATGTTGGGTTCCTTGCCTCTCCTGCTACCTGATGAGCATGTTCTTGCATCTGCAGTGTACAGCCATTCTTTCTTGCCCATGCACTCACCTCCTCTCCACCTCCAGGGCTCTGCCCTTGTCTGATACTGTGTAGGATGTCAAACCCCAACCCAGCAGCCACTATCTGTCCCTCTTGTCCCCCGTTTCTCCGGGGTACTTTCATCCCTGCTAAGAAGGCTTGTCTGTTGTCTTCCACACCCTCCACATCCTCGTGTGCTCCTGATGCCCACGGCCAAATGCAAAGTTCCATGGAAGCAAAACCATTCTTTTTTTACTGGCTGTTCTCTCCTTAGTAGCTAAAACAATGCCTGACCCACAGAAGTTAAAACAAATTTTCTGACTATCTAGGTGTGTTGAAGCTTACCCTAGCACTCAGGAAGCTAAAGCAAAAGATCATAAGTTCAAGTTCAAGGCCGGCTTGAGATACATATGGATATCCTGTCTCAAAATAATAAAAAAAAAGAACTCTGCTGCCTTTGAATAAATGAATGACTCGGCTAAGTGTTCTGCATGCATTTGTAGATCCACAGAAAAGTTGGCATTCAATGTCTTCTCTCAGTCATGGATATTTACATCTCCTTTTGGAAACTTCTTCTGTTTTCCTGTAGAAACTTTTCCTGTAGAACGGGTTGTTTTACCTCGTACAAGTGCTTTGTATATATTAAGGCAGAGGAAGGCAGATCTCTATCAGTTCAAAGTCAGCCTGGTCTACAGAGTGAGTTCCAGGACAGCCAGGACTGTTTCATAGAGAGACCCTGTCTTGGAAAACCAAAAAGATAAATAAATAGTAGTAGTAATAATAATACTAATAATTTTTGCTCACAGATACTTTCTAATCTGAAATAAACGGTGTGGGAAGAAACGCTGTTTTAACTTAAGACATTCACAATGTCTTTTATGAATGAATAGGTCACTAATCTATGAATAATTTTCTTCTGCTTCTGTAATTATAATCAGAATTGGACTCGTGTGCTTTGGGGAACCACGGCTGTGAACATTCATGTGTAAGCAGCGAAGACTCATTCGCGTGTCAGTGTTTCGAGGGATACATCCTCCGTGACGACGGAAAGACTTGCAGAAGTAAGTTTGATAGAGCTAGCTCAGATGACCGTGCCTGAGATCCACCATGTCAGCTTGGGTGTGAGACAATTATTCTTAGCTGTCAATACCACACAATCAAAAGTCATGTGGTGTCCGGGTGGGATCCTAGGACTGAAGAGGGTTGCTGTGTGAAAACAAAGGAGCTGTATATAACCGTATGCTTTGGTAAATGATAACCCTTGAACCCAGGTATGGTGTTATATGCTTTGATTGCCATAAGGCAGAGAGATATTGGTGACATTTGTGGATTCAAGCTCAGTCTGGTCTACATAGTAAGTTCTAGGCCAGCTCTACATAGTGAGACCCTCTCTCAATAACAGCAACATACTACAGCAGGCCTGCTGGTATACCCCTATAAGCCTGACTACTTAAAAGGCTGAAGCAGGAACATGGCAAATTCACAGACTTCCTGGGCTGTAGGCCATACTAGTCTCACTAAGTTTAGTGAGACACTGTCTCAAAATAAAAAAAAATAATAAAATAAAAATGGAAGGATAGAAAGATGGCTTAGTGATGAAGAATACTCGCTTCCCTTCCCGAGGACCTGAATTCAGTTCCTCACACCCATATCAGGCAGCTTACAGGCCCCTGTAACTCCAGCTCCAGGGACTCTGATGCCCTCTCCTGGCTTCTGCAAGCAACTGTACTCATGTGCACATACCCATACACAGACCCATAAATAAAATTTTAAAATAAATAAATAAATGAACTGGGGGTGTAGCTTAGTGGTCAAGCACCTGCCAAGCACACATAAGGCTCTGGGTTACGTGCCCGATACCCTAATAATAGCAATCAAAGAGGAGTGTGCAAATCTGGGCAAACGGTTCTCATCTCTGCCAGTCCTCTTTTTCTCAGGTTTCTCGAAACTCTTCCCAAACAGCTCTGAAGAAAAGATGAGCACCTGGAATCATTACTCTTATTTGCAGACAGGAAAGCTAAGATTCCAAGATGTTATGTGATTCCCCTCCCCCTAAATCATAGATTACGCCAGGGACAAAGGCAAGAGTAGATTTCAGTGTTGTTGAGCTACACTGAGGCTTTCTCCTACATAACCATCCGATAGCATCTCCACTTGTCGGCTATGTCTGCACACAGCTGAGTCTGAACCGCATCCCGACACGGAAGACTAAGAAAGTCTGAAGATTTAGCCCAACCTAGAGCCACCACGCTTCATCCCCAGTTTCACCTTCCTACTCAGGCAGCACTGGAGTCCAGAGGTCGCGATGGACGGATCGTCCAGGGGCAATGCATGTAGCCTTTATGCTGATGTGGTTGTTCTAATCGCTGTGCTCTCCTCAGGGAAAGACGTCTGCCAGGCTGTAGACCATGGCTGTGAGCATCTTTGTGTAAGCAGTGGCGAGTCGTACATCTGCAAGTGTCTGGAAGGGTTCAGGCTGGCTGAGGATGGGAAGCACTGTAGAAGTAAGTAGCTAGGGTGGAGAACGTGTCTGCCTGTGGGACTCTGGCTGCAGCTTAATCCTCCACAGCCTCCCTTTGGAGAGTTCTTAACCATCACAAACTCAGCCCCCAACTTCGGGTGCTCTGCAAATGTTTCCAAGGGGTCAAGTCAGGAATGTCTCGGCGGTAGTCCCGAGTTGTCAGGTTCTATGCTGTTTTCTCTCAGCTCTTGGCCTTCTGCATGGTGGTTGGATGGATGCATGGGCCTAGTGAGGTGCCTAGCAAATCGGTGGGCAGAACTAGAATCATTGGTACCAATTGACTACCAGGACCAAAAAGATAATTTCAGTGCTTTTTCTTCTTGGCAGACCGTATACGTAAGATGAAGGTAGGAGTGGGCTGGAGGGAGGCTCTGTGGATTTTTTAGTGTTAGGAGGGACTTCAGAGATAGCTCAGTTGGCAAAGTGCTTGCTGTGGAAGCATGAGGACCTGAGTTCAATCCCCAGGACCTAAGTAAAAGCGAGCGTGGTGGAGCACACCTGCCACCTCAGTGCTAGGAGGGGAAGAGGGGAGGGGCCCAGGCGCTTGCTGGCAATCAATCTAGTTGAATTGGTCAGCTCCAGGATCAGTAAGAGCCTTTGTCTCAAAAAATTAACTGGATAGTAACTGAAGGAGACACTGACCTTTGACTGCCACAAGCACACATACATGTGCAAGTGTGCATTCTCTCTCTCTCTCTCTCTCTCTCTCTCTCTCTCACACACACACACACACACACACACACACACACACACACAGACCCATGTTAGGATTCTCCAGAAAAAAAAACAGATTATAGTGTTTATGTTCTGGAGGGCCATGTATGTACATGTTGTGGCTGAAGGAAGAGAGAGGAAAAACCTGACTTTAAGAAATTGGCTCATGGGATTGTGAGGGCTAATGAGGATGATGTCTGTAAGGGAGGCTGGAATCCAGAACTGATGTTACAGGTGAAGAGCAGCTTCCCTTCCTCTGGGAATCTTAGCCTTTTACCCTTAGGCCCTTCAACGGATTGGATGAGGCCCCCACACACTACAAAGCATAGTCTGCGTTACTCAGAATCTATAGATTTAAATGTTAACGTCACACATAAGTACTTTTGCAGCAATGTCTAGACCTGTGTTTTACAAAACAGCAGGCACCATAGCTGGTGTGGGAGAATTGTCTGTATTCTGTCAATCATATTTTATAAAACGCTGATTGGCCAGGCAGGCAGTATAGGCGGGAAAGCCAGACAGGAAGTAGAGGTGGAGCAAAGAGACTGGGAGTATTCTGGAAAGCAGGAAGCTCCCTCGCCAGTTCTGCCCAGACCACCGGAGAGGAAAGATGTAAGCTGCCCCGCTGGAAAAGGTACTGGGCCATGTGGCTAATGTAGATAAGGATAATGGGGTAACATAAGTTATAAGAGCTAGTAAGTAGCCTGACCTAATGGGCCAATCAGTTTATAACTTTATGGAGCCCTGTGTGTGATTTTCTTTGGGGTTTGCCGGTTGTGGGGTACCGGGTGGGACAGAAACCCCAACCAGCAGGCCCCCTCATGCTACACATAGCCCAGCCAAAGTTTACATAGAATTAGCCACTGCACCACCCAAGAGCAGCCCAATGAGGCTGGGATTGGAATACAGGCAGAGAAGGCTGTCCTCTTTAAGGGTTGGGGGCTGATAATATCTACTTGTTTTTGACAATGCTGTGGTGTCCTTTTTTAGTTAAATTAAGTAAGTTCACTTGTCTTTGAGGTGGCTTTGTGGGCGGTTTTCCCCCTTGAGACCATGGGACATTCCAGCTATCAGCAAAGCTGGGCAGGATAACTCATCAGGCACTCTTCTCCAGGGGCATGACTTGTGTCTAGTGAGAGGCTCTGTGATTGACAGAGGGCTGTGGGTGGGGCCTGACTCCCAGACTCACTGCACTGTCGGGGCTTCTAGCCGCAGACTGCCCTGCTTCTTTCACGGAGACTGTCCACGGTCTGCCTGAGTCGTATTTTCCTATTCAGTCAGCATATGTTTTGGTCAATACATTGAACAGTTGTGTAAAAGGCACTCTTTCTAGCTTTGCAATCTGAGCCCTCAATTAACTCTCACTATTTCCCACTTCCTAGAGGTATCCATAGCTACAGATCCCAATTTCGTGTAAGGTTTCTTCTTTTAAAGGGTAGACGAAACCCTGGGGTGTCATACAATCAGGAGGAAGTGTGCCTCAACTGGGCCATCGTCTGGCTGGACAGCCTTGCACAACTCAGTCAGACGCATGACATCCCCTGCTTCCTTTATTCCCTGTGTTTACCTAGCCGTGTCTCCGGAGTGTTGTGAGGGTTAAAGGGTCATAACTACTTCAAGGAGTTCAAATTACCTAACCGACATGGGGTGTTTGGGATCACTACTACAAAACCGGAAGCGAAAGCCTATCTAGTCATTCAAAATTAAGCAACAAATCCAAGGCCAGGAGGAGCAAAACTTCTAAGAGGAGGTGCTCTTGATCTTTGCCTGGCATGGACTGCAATGACGGTCGTTTTAGCAAAATTGGATTCTATAAAATAGATGACTTCCTTCATCTCTCATGTCATGACTGTTCACACTAACTGATCTCTATAATAATGGGTTGCTCACCTCACCACATTTTCCCCAGGGAAGGATGTCTGCAAGTCGACCCACCACGGCTGTGAGCACATATGTGTGAACAACGGAGATTTCTATACATGCCGGTGCTCAGAGGGCTTTGTCCTGGCTGAGGATGGGAAGCGCTGCAAGAGTGAGTGACCTGAACTGGCTCTCTGCTCCCATTTGGTTGTGGAGCAATAGCTCCCTTAGCCCTGCTTCTCCCATAAACATAGATGTGTACACTGAGAGAAGGCAGGGCCAAGCTCAGCAACAGCAGCCAGGACACCTTTGATTTGTGTTAGTGAATCACAATGGCTGACGCTGTTCCATAAGCATCTGCTGGAGAGCCACATACATGACACCCCCAATACCCATGACATCTGCTGGAGAGCTACATACATGACTCCCCCAATACCCGTGACATCTGCTGGAGAGCTACATACATGACTCCCCCAATACCCATGACATCTGCTGGAGAGCTACATACATGACACCTGAATCTTTCCTGATTTCCCTCCCATAGCTAAAGAATCAATAGATTGATTAATTAGGACAAGCTCTTAATGAAATAAAGAAGCCAACCCCAATGCTCACACACACACACACACACACACACACACACACACACACACACGTGCATACTCCCATTAGCATATTCTGGGCACAGAAGTATTTTTGCATATGTATGTCTTTACTTGCTTTATTATTGTGCTTCTCTTTGAAAGATTAGACAGCTGCTTGATATATAAAAGAGAATATTATAATAACATACCGTAGATTGTTTGAAATGAGATCATTCATTTAGGATTGTTACAATTCTCTTATGCAGCCCTACAGAACAAAGTCTATTGGCATCCAAATTGCCTATGTATTTGCATAAATCATTTTCACTTTTTACTGTCAACCATCAAAGGTGCCCTAAAAGCCTTAGTTTGGGTAAAGAATTCAGTAATCATACATTTTTAAGCCTTAGTAGGTCAATAGGGTACTTAAATTGTACTACCTAATAGATACCACTCTGTTCTTTTATTCTGTCAGTAATAATGTATTGAGTATTTATTGTGTGCCAAACAGTATGGCTACAAAAATAAATGACACATAGTATCTACTGAAGGACAATCTAGACTAGGGGAGAAAGACCCATTGTTAAATAATTATCTTCCCACATGGATATAGTTTAGCACACATTGGACTTAACCAACATGGTATCAGATATTTTGTGTTAGTCATTATCATAATCCTGCTGCGTCCACTGCCTTTCACAAAGCAAATACTCAGAAACTTGATTGTGATTGAATAAACTAATGTGCTGGGGTATTTATTCAGAGAACAACTGACAGAAGCTGGGTTACTGTGGAAGCTTCTTGGGAGAAGTAATGGCTGAGGAAAAATTAATCATCTCAACTGTCAGTCAAAATACTGTATATCAATATTGTGTTTATCTATCTGCCTCCCACAACAAAGCAAAAAGAACTGCCTTGGGATAGTCTAGTCTAGTGGTTCTCAACCTGTAGGTAGCAACCCCTTTAGGAGTCAATTGATTCTTCCACTTGGGTTGCCTAAGACCATTGGAAAACACAGATATTTACGTTACAATTCATAACAGTGGTAAAATTACAGTTATGAAATAGCAACAAAAATAACTTTATGGGTGGAGGTCGCCACAACATGAGGAACTGTATTAAAGGGTCTTAGCATTAGCAAGGTTGAGAACCTTGCTCTATTCTTTACCATGCTGTATGCAGTCTCTCCAAGGCTTGGCTACCAGTGATCACCGTGCGGTTTCCTTTACAATATGTGGATCCTGTGTAGCTTGTGAGATCCCCTTCTCCTCTGTCCTGTGTGCTAACGAGCAGAGACAGATCTCCGGACTCAGCTATGCCTCCTGCTGAAGCATGCTTTTTCATACTTTTGTATGTACCTGATCTCTAACATTTTAACCTTGCCACCTCTTCTTCTGTCCCTCTAGGATGCACTGAGGGCCCAATTGACCTAGTCTTTGTCATTGATGGGTCCAAGAGTCTCGGAGAAGACAATTTTGAGATCGTGAAGCATTTTGTGGCTGGGATTATAGATTCCCTGTCAGTTTCCCCCAAAGCGGCGCGGGTGGGGCTGCTGCAGTATTCCACACAGGTCCGCACGGAGTTTACCCTGAGGGACTTCAGCTCAGCCAAGGACATGAAGAAAGCTGTGGTCCACATGAAATACATGGGCAAAGGCTCTATGACTGGGCTGGCCCTGAAACACATGTTTGAAAGAAGTTTTACCCAAGTAGAAGGGGCCAGGCCCCTCTCTACACGGGTGCCCAGAGTAGCCATTGTGTTCACCGATGGACGAGCTCAGGACGACGTCTCCGAGTGGGCCAGCAAAGCCAAGGCCAATGGTAATACGGGGTGGGGTTGCGGTTTATATTGCCCAAAGTTCTGGTCTTTTAGATTCATAGCTGGCCTTTGGGGTTTGAGTGTTTGAGTACAGGAAGTCAGTTTGGCAACTGTCATTAAAAATTCACCTTGACTAGACTGCCATCTAGAGGCTATAATGGGACCCTGGGGACACTCAATAAAATGTTCCAGCCTGAGTAATAGGATTTGGTGCTCAGTGTGTGACCTCACACATCTCAGCCCGTGCTATTTAACTACAATAAGCAGCTGGTCCAGCAGTCTGGTATATCCCCTACAGAGTCACCTGAAGATTTTTTTTTAAATGGATTTCTGGTGGCAACTTTACTGACACAAATACACTTTTTTTTTCAAACCAGGATCTTTCTAGCCCAGGCTGACCTGAAACGTAGCACAGGATGGCTTCAAATTTATAGCAGTCCTCCTGCCTCAGCATTCCTAGCGCTCAGACTACAAGCACAAGCCACCACATGAATATATTTTTGACCACGACTTCAAGCAAACACTCTGAAGTTGTGAAGTCTTTAGACAGAAGAGTGTGGCTCTTGACTGCTGGGAGGCCAAAAGCCAAGATGGATGTTAGAGCCAATTCACGATAATGCATATTTCCTCGGGTGAGACGAGAAAACTCGAGGTTACAAAACAGTCTGCTTGTAAGCCCAAACTCCTTAGCACTGAAGGCAGGATGCTTTATCAGGTGCCCTAAGAGGATAAGGGAAGGTCCACCACCTCACCCAAGAGTCTCTAGACCTCATGCCTAGATGGGCCAGATGCGTAGATGTTTGACAGACACTCACCCAGCCTGCAAAGACAGGAGTGTAGTACAGTTGGCTTATAGTAGGCAAACTCCATCCTCTATCGGAAAGGCTGACGATTCCCATCCAGTCCCTATGAAAGAGTCCATTATATCGACATTCCTTATCTCACTGCTGCCTAATTCTTCGTTGCCCAAGAGAAGTGGCCATCCCTAGGTCATTGGAATGGTTTGTAAAACTGGTCACTCAGGACTAGCTTGCTGGAGCCTATGCCTGACTCTGCTAGACTGTCTGTTCTTAAAAAGTACTAGGGAAGAACAGACTAGTCTCTTATTAGACCCACTGAAACCAGCCCACCTTACACCCCCACACTCGAACTCCTGCAAATCACCCAAAGGCTGGTAGGAGCAGGTATTTAGTTCTTGAGTCCGCCAGGTTTATCCAACATCCTCTTAATAAAATCAGTCTCTCTGGGTATGGCGATATCATCTTAAACTAGTCTCTCTGGGTATGGCGATATGGTCGTAAACTAGTCGCTCCCCTTTTGTACGAAGCCATGTGCAGGTTGCTGGCTCCTAGGCAGATATGCCGACCTCAGCTATTCATACAGATTCAAAACAGTTTCCCCTCGCCCACTGGCTTTAAGGGCCATTCTAAAATGCTCTCTCAAACCTACAGTCTAGTGGCTTAGCCAGAATAAGACACCAATGCTGAAAACTGTTGGAAGTCCAACACTCATTTAACTTTCAAACAAGGGAATGGAGTCTAAAGACCAGCTTGGTTTAGAAAAGGTTTCATAGCAACCCCATATCCCTTTTGAAATCCAAGGTAGATGTTTTGAGTTTCTTCTTTTTCCTGACTGGGATTTCCAATGGTCCACAAACTCCCCTCTGTAGCTTCCCATGTCTGCTCAAGACGGTAGTCCTCACCCCCTAAGAGAAATGGGCAGAAGGCAGCTCCACTGGACCCCAAAACACTTAAGATTCTTCTCCTTTTCTTGAGGAAGAACCCTTCCATGCACTCAGAAGGCTGAGGTAGGGGAACTACCAGTTCCAGCCCAGCCTTAGCTATATGATAAGACCCTGTTTTTTAATAAGGTCTTAATTTGACCTGCTTAGAATTTTCCCAGAAAACCTCTCATTTTAGTAAGCTGTGAGACACTTTTCCTACTATCCAGAAGGCAACAAGAGAAAGCTGCACACTTGTTACCTTACCCTCTCCAGAGCTAATCAACTCTTCTAGATGCCACATCTCTATCTTTTGTTCATAGGTCAGAGATAAAAATGCTGAAAAACGGGCTGGAGAGATGGCTCAGTGGTTAAGAGCTTTGCTTATTCTTCCAAAGGTCCTGAGTTCAATTCCCAGAAACCACATGGTGGCTCACTGCCATCTGTAATGAGACTTGGTGCCCTCTTCTGGCCTGCAGGCAGAACACCATATATATAATAAATTAAATTATTAAAAATGCTGAAAAATATAGAGGTGTTGATATTGATGCTTCAAATCACATCACTTAGCATCTCACTGGCTTTGAGCAGAGCACGATGTCCAGACCCTGGGAATGCAATTGTATCTTATCCTAATTCCTGTTGCCTAGGTATCACTATGTATGCTGTTGGGGTAGGAAAAGCCATTGAGGAAGAACTACAGGAGATTGCCTCTGAACCCACGGACAAGCATCTCTTCTATACAGAGGACTTCAGCACTATGGGCGAGATCAGTGAAAAGCTGAAGCAAGGCATCTGTGAAGGTACTGTAGAGCGTGGCGAGGGTAGACCTTAGCCACAGGGAAGCAAGAACCCTCAGATGTGAAGGTACTGTAGAGCGTGGCAAGGGTAGGCCTCAGCCACAGGGCAGCAGGAACCCTCAGATGTGAAGGTACTGTAGAGTGTGGTGAGGGTAGGCCTCAGCCACAGGGCAGCAGGAACCCCTCAGCTGTGAAGGTACTGTAGAGTGTGGTGAGGGTGGGCCTTGGCCACAGGGCAGCAGAAATCCTCAGAAAATACCACCCTGCTGACTAGACAGGTGATACTGGAGACACTTCAGCCGGAGAAAAATGTAGGAGAGGTGAAGGCAAAGGTGATAGCTACCATGTCTTCAGTACCAACTCTGTGCCAAATGTCTTAACATGCCATGTTTAATCCTCACCAAACCTAGAGAAGGGATCATTTAAGCAAGAAGGCACCATTAAAGAAACCAGAAGTACTATTTCAGAGTATTTGTGGATAGGGATGTCTATCCTTGCAAGCTCACTGTTAGATATCTTTCTGCAGGGACTTCTATTTATAGAATACACCTATCCTCTAGATACCAGACATTTTTATGTAGTTTCTCCAGTTCACTTATTAATCCAGTTATGCTTACACATAGGAATTCTGCCCAGTTCCCCTTTTATTCACATCCTGGGTTCAGACACACTTAAAATGCAGCCCATGGTGCTTTATTTCTACCCTGGGGTGAAGAGGAGATGCAGGGGGCAAGCCTTCCAGATCCCAAAGCGGGGAGCATGTTTTGGCTCTTCCATTCCCATGGAAATGTCGCAGGTAGGGCTGCAGGGATTACTCAAGTATCTTTGGAAACTTGTCCTGCCTTCCTTCCTTGACATGGCATGGGGAGGGGAGCATTCTTTAGATGCAATTTATATGCATCTACCATGGTCATAAATGACAGAATCTTTGGTGTTACCAAGTAACACCAAAAGACCTGGGTCCTAGCAGCATTCTAAAGAGCATGTGTGAAACCATCACTCCTTTTGGCCATCTCTTTCCTCCCAGCTCTAGAAGACTCTGATGGAAGACAGGACTCCCCAGCAGGGGAACCACCAAAGCAGGTCCACCAGCCAACAGGTGAGCCTCCACAGGCCGTATGATCCACCTTCACTGGAGCAGATGCTTCTTAGATTTAAATGCCAGCTAAGGGGAGGATTTACTGTCCTTGATGCCGTATTTGGTGGCTACCACCTATCTGACAGCTTATGTCACAGTATGTTTCAAAGCAAGGCTCTCTACCGAGGAAAACCCGATGCCTTGCACCAGCTGGTGCCTGCTTTAAACCACAAGAGCATGAAGCAGGTGTGAATTCGGTTTTCTCTCCTTACAGAATCTGAGCCAATCACCATAAATATCCGAGACCTACTTTCCTGTTCTAATTTTGCAGTGCAGCATAGATATCTGTTTGAAGACAATCTTTCACGATCTACACAAAAACTTTCCCACTCAACAAAGTCTTCAGGTAATTCCAAGTGAAATATCACTACCAGATAAATTGCAGCAGCCTTTCAGCTTGCCAACAGACTTAAAGTAGGGGGGGAAAAAAGGAGGAAATTAAGTAAATAAGTAAAAACTAAACTAAAAGAAGCAGTGTACCGCGAAAGCTCCTTTCAGTGTCTGAAGCCAACGCAGCCCTTCCCCAGTATCGACTTCCCTGGGTCTGGATGCATGGAAAAGGCTGAGCATTTTCTTTCATTATGGTTTCCTGTGTACTGACTCAGTACCATTATTTGTGTCTGGGAAGGGTATGAAAGACAGAGGTGAACTCTTTCCATCTGCTTTCTCAGGAAGTCCTTTGGAAGAAAGCCAGGACCAATGCAAATGTGAAAACCTTATAATGTTCCAGAACCTTGCAAATGAAGAAGTAAGAAAACTAACCCAGCGCTATATCCTTTTCCAATACATGCTCAGTATGCAATGCAAAGAATAGTAGCAAAACTTTACAGATAACTGTGTGGGTTTTGTCAGCAAAGCCAGCAACACTGAACCAGGAAAGGCCCTTTCTATAAAAGGCAGCCTCATCAGTGTTGAGGGTTGAAGTCAAGCCAAGCTTAGTGGCCACGGTCAAGCTGTCATCTGCTGGTTAGGACAGGGAGAGTAGCATTAAGGGCATCAGGCAGTATATAAAGTGTAAGTGGGGAGGCACTTAACTCTAGTTTAGGAATGAAGTGCCACAGAGATGCAGGTCTAGGCAAAGTGTGTTGTAGAATGAAGAGGTTTAGTTTAATCTCTAAACCTTCAACCCTAACCTAACCATACAGAAGCTGCATGTATGTGCAGATTTGGAAGAACTGGGTGTTTCCCTTTTCTTTTTGGCAGCCGAGATCCCTTATATCAGCACTCTTAAGAGATGAAAAATTCTACCAAGGGAACAAAGTCCAGTGACTCATTTAGACAGGAATGCACCGAGATGACAGAGTGATTGGTGCTTTTACACACTGAACTCACTGCCAGCTACTCCGAACTTAAAATTACAGTAAGCTTACTAAAGCTGGCTGATACGGATCTCAGGGAGCATCAACTAATCCATAGAGAAATAGTTTAATTCTGAACTACCCTGTGCCAACAGGCTTACTAAGAACAACACACAACAATTCTCCCTGTAAGGAGGGGAAAGAGGGATTGGTCCTCTGTGTGGAATTAAGTCTTCCTAAACAGTAAATAACACAGATAAAATTGGGCTGTCACTCTGCCATGGGAGCAAATAGGAATTACGGGGCTTAAATACTTTAACTCTACAGTTTCTTCTTGTCCCTTTCTACCCCTCAGGAAGGCTAAGAAACTCGTGAAAGAGCATTCAAGGCCATCAATGAGCCCCATCCCCACACCTCTCTGCTGACTTCCCTTTACGCTGTAAGGCACGATCCTTTCATTTTTCTCCTCTTTACATCTCCCAAGTCAGTTCTGGCTCCCAGAGTAGCACTATGGCAAATTATAAGCAACATGGGTGTAGTTAGAAAACATTTTTGGAAAATCTTAAGGAAACCCCAAATTCACACTGAAATATCTGGCTTTGATGTTTTGAAAATGAGCTCATCATGAATTTTTAAAATATATTGTTATAAATGTATAAGAGTTTTAAAGTATGAGTTTGCTTTTAAACCCAAAGTTTTTTTTTAAAAAAATAACTTTTAGTAATCATTTCAAGCTGTACTTGATTGGAAGTTAAAACAGGCATCCAGGTTCCTCTTCCTTAATGAGATTTACTAGAAGAAATGACTCAAAGAATGGAAGCCCTGGAAAACCGCCTACGATACAGATGAAGACTAGAAATGCTTTCATGTGTTTATACATCATAAAAAGGATTTCAAAAAAAGCGGTGGCGCCTCAAAGCTCACACCATAGTTAAATCTCTAAGCTGTAAAGCAAATCACAACCAGTACAGAAGACACTGGACTGCTCTACAAAGAGAAAAATGGAGACACTAAGGGGGGAGGGGTCCTTCTGAAGCCTAAAATGAGTTTACCCTGAGAATAAATGGGCTGTGCCGTGTTCTGTGATCTGCTGTGGGTACAATTTGCTTCTGTCTTCCTGCCTTAGCACTGAAATCTCATTTGACAATTCTGCAGAAAACTGACCCCACAAATTGCTAATGTTTTTGTACTGGAATTTACCTTGATGTATATGGACATATGCCTAAGTCATGGGACCTATGTTCTGCAATAAGTTGAATTTTTATACAATATTAAAATTCACCACTCCAGAAAATGTTGAGTAAAATTCCTAGTTTAAATATGAGATGGGGTCTCAAATTTGCTGAGGCTGTAACTCTCAATTCTCCTGTTCATTGCACTGCAATACAGGCATGTGGCACCAAGCCCAGTCTTACTGGAACTTTAAATATAAAATATGCATACATGACAACAAAATCCATTATCCCCCTCCCAAAATAAAACAAGTTTAAGTAAGATTTTTTTTTTTCTCATGAGCTTGGTACGACCACTGTCTGACTTTGGTGGGTACCAATGCAGAAATACAGGTTCTTACAAACTGCTAGGGAGTGTGCACTGCAGGCTCTGGAAAAAAAGACCTGTAATGATAGCAGTTGCCATACCATTTGGTTCAAACCAAATGGCTTTTTACAAAGAGAGACAAAAGCGACAAATGAGAAACAGCCTAAACATCAGAACCGAGTCACAGGGTAGTCCGTACCACAGAAATGCTATTCGTTTACAGAGATCCCCAAATTCCTACCAAGCCATAGTGAAACCCAAAACTAATTTTGTTGTTGTTGTTAAATAGTATCTCATGTATCCCAGGCTGTCCTCAAGCCTCACCTGAGTGCTGGGATTACAGACAAGTGCCACCACACCTGATTTATGTGGTGCTAAGGATCATACATGTGAGGAAACCACTCTGTAACTGAGTCACATCCCAGCCCTCAAATCAGTTTTAAAAGCCAATGACAATCTGGGAGACAGAGGCAGGTATGCCTTTGTGAGTTCAAAGCCAGCCTGATCTACATAGAGATCCTGTCAGGAAAAAAAAAAAAATCCAAAGACAAAGTCTAGCATTTCAATAATTTCTATGGACACAATTAGCCACTCAAGGAGATATATATGTATGTGCAGACCACATCAAGTAACAGCTTTAGGAAGACACAGATAAAATAACATCCTTCCCATCAATGCTACATTTGTTTTTCCACAATACTTTAGATGAGTCTTATACTTTGTTCTCATCAAATGTCCTCCCACAGGGCAGCTGAGTGCAATGATCTCCTAGGCCTCCATCTTGTCTGAAGAATCTTCCCAGGTGTAAATGTTCTAACTCAGAATAAACATTTTCATGACAAGAGATTGAGGGAGAAGCCATGCCCATACTGCCTGGACTTTATTCAAGCTCCCTCTAGTGGCACAACCACACACAACACAGAAAAGCTTCATGAGAAACAAAGGCCTACAGCCAAGCCATCATGTTTTACAGACCAGGGACTGGATTCCCAGCTCCCAAGTCAGGCAGCTGTAACTAACTCCAGCTACAAGGGACCCATTGGGCATGCATAGTTAAAGACACATGGACGTCTTCTTTAAAAATTAACTTGTTCTTTTCAATGTGCGGTGCTTGTTTACAAGTTGTTTATAAGTTTTAATGAATGTCTAAGTTATGTAGCTTAATCCAAGATACTTAGCTTTGTTATTGTGTACATAAGTGTTGTCAGTATTGCGCTTGCCAGCTGCACTGGTAACTGGTTAAGCATTTTGTATTCCATTTCACTGCTGATTCTGTAAGCCTGTATTCATCTGTAAAACCAGGTTCACAGAACTGCCTTGCTGGGTTGTCAGAGAATTGGGTACATTTACATCTAGCAAACCTCAAAGCATTATCTGTTGTTTTTTTGAGGCAGGGTTCCCCTTTATAGCTTTGGCTGTCCTGGAACGTCTGCCTCTGCCTCGCAAGAGCTGGGAGTAAAAGCAAATGCTATGGCCATCCAGCAACGCATTTCTCGTATACATTTTTTTAAAGCAAGGCTAGAGATGGCTTGATGGTTAAGTGCACTTGGTGTTCTTGCAGAAGACCCAGACTCAGTTTTGAGCAATCACATGAGTCCCAACCATCTCTAACTGCAGTTCCAGAGGAGCCAGCACCAACCCCTTGGCCCCTTGGCATGCACATGGTGCATTTAAATGCATGTGGGCAAAACACTCATACAGATCAAGTAAATAAGTCTTTGTCCTAGCAACGGCCCAGCAATCGAGAGCACTTGTTCTTACTGATGATTCAGGTTCAGTTCTCCAGCACCCACGTGGCAGCTCACAGCCATTCATTAAGTCGTTCCAGAAAGTCGATGCCCTCTACTGGCCTCCAGGAATGCGTGCAGCACAGACAGAACTGCAAGCCAAGCACTCATACTCATAAATCTAAAAACAATTCCTAGGAACATGTGTAAGCGAATGCCACGTATGCAGGTGACCAGATTGTAGGAGAGGGTTGCAAGCCCCCCTTCACCAGTGTTATAAATGCTCAGTATCACCTGTGATATCTGTATTCTTCAGCAGTCAGTGCCTCACTAGATGAAGCTTATTCTGAGTAGATGAAGACAGAATTCGTCCTCTGAACCAGATGGGAGACAGCAAATTAAGTAGTAAATGTACTAGATATTGGGGGGCAGAGGCAGGCAGATTCTGTGAGCCTGGTCTACAAGAGCGAGTTCCAGGACAGGCTCCAAAGCTATGGAGAAACCCTGTCTTCGGAAAACAAAAAACTGGGAGGGGGAGCCCCTCATTTTTAACGACCTAGACAGCACCTAGCTTCGACTGGACTTGTCTTCCAATCAATACAAGTCCAGGATGGGGGCAGAAAACCTTCTGTCACCATTGGAAAAAGCACAGCAAAGTTCCAAAGATGAACCAGAGAAAATCTTCCCATGAAACTTGACTATCTTCTTTCCATGTTATACAGCTAGCTCCAGTCATGACCTAAAATGTGGTTTCTTCGTCATGGTTTCTATTGTCCCAATTCCATAATTGCAATTTTTTGTTTTTTAAATATTGTTTGAGCCTATATAACGGCTTGTCTCACAAGGAAGAGAACACCGGAATAGGTTAGACTTTCTTGCTATAGCAAGCTCAAATTGTGTCAGACAGTATTGTTCATCTGCCACAGAGTGTTGCTTGCAAATTTTAACATATTCAACATCAACTTTATTATGTATACATGTATGCCTGCAGGCCAGAAGAGGGCACCAGACCCCCATTACAGATGGTTTTGAGCCACCATGTGGTTGCTGGGAATTGAACTCAAGACCTTTGGAAGAGCAGGCAATGCTCTTAACTGCTGAGCCATCTCTCCAGGCCCCTCAACATCAACTTCTTTGGCATTTGTCTCCACTCCTAACAGAAGTCCACTGGGCAAGCATTCCCTGCAGTCCCTCACAACTCTGATTTGGGCTTTCCCAGCAGCCACAGCACAATGGCACTTTACAGCAATCCCACAAACACACCCACGGTGTTTCCTATCAGCTGATTTTAAACTTTCCTCATCTTTAACCCTTCTTGCAGACACAACGACTAGATAAAAAGTATGTATAAATTAAAAGCCAAATCTTATACCATATGATCGCTACCTTCAAAGCCCTAGAAACCACACATTAAAGAAATATTCTAAATGCCTGTACCCACGTCACTAACTACATACAAACCCCACAAGATAGTACCTAAGAATCTGTGCTTTGGGATTCTCCAGTTTACCATTCATTAAAGAATTAAACTGAAACACTCTGAACCATGGAAATAGTTCTAAAAGGCAGGCCTAACCAATGTGCATAAAAGATCTAATACCTGATTTTGAGCACACCACCAAGAATTTAGAACACTTAAAGTCCAACTCAGCCAGTACCCCAACCTGGAAACATCCTAGTGTGAAATCACACACTCGAGAGGCAGAGGCAGGAGGATCACTGTGAGTTCCACGACAGTCAGGACTGTTTTACAGAGAAACCCTGCCTCCAAAACAAAACACCCAAGGGGGTTGGAGAGATGGCTCAGAGGTTAAGACTGTTCTTCCAGAGGTCCTGAGTTCAATTCCCAGCAACCACATGGTGGCTCACAACCATCTGTAATGAGAATGAGTGCCCTCTTCTGGCCTGCAGGCAAATATGGAGGCTGAACACTGTGTACATAATAAATCTAAAAAAAAAAAAAAAGGCTGGGGTGGGGATGGGAACAACTGGGGGCACAACAAGACAGAAGCAGAATGAGAGACTGGTTGGTTTCCCTGCAGTTATTGCTGCTCCCAAATGGAGACACATAATAATGAAGCTAACGTCACTCACCCACCTTAGGTTAACCTCTAAAAACAGTCACACCTCACCTGTCACAGTGGGAGACACACCCAGCTATGTACTATTAAGGCCAGTCCACTGACTCTGGACAATACACAGAAAGCATCTTTAGCTCCTATGTCTCATTCTTCAATCACAAAAAACCTGGCTGGATGGAAGGAGAGCATTAAAGGGGAAGCCTTTCTGATACTCCTAAAGCTTCCTTCAAAAGCGTAGATTACACAGGGCACCTGTACCAGACTGAGATGTAGAGCTGAATACCCACCCACCTGGATAACCTGACACTTCATCAGCTGAGGACCCAGGCTCACTCGGGTTGTCCGAGACTCCTTTCCACGTAAGCTTTGAAGACCCTTATACTCTAGACGTTTAGCACCTCAAACAGCACTTCTCCCTGTGCTACTCAGCTTTGTCAATCACAAGTCTTGCTATACCAATGCCTCTCAAACATACCCAAATACACAATAAACACTGAGACTAAAATCAGGAACCTGTCTTTCCAGCTCTATGGCAGAGCACTTCCTGCGCAAACCTCCAGCACCCACATAAAGGGGTGGATGTGCAGGGGGACCAGCCTGCAATGCTGTCTCTCAGAAGACACAGAGGATGCAGAGGAAGCTGCCTAGCTAAATTAGCTGGAATTACCAAATTCTAGGTTTAAGTGAGAGGTCGTGCCTTGGTACTTAAGGTTAGGTACAGAAGTAGTTATAAAAGAAAGCACCTGTCAAAGTTGAAACACACCCACCCACAGAAAGTACCCAAAACACGGCCTTCTGATTAGATCCGTATTAAATGAACATAAGAGTGCATGTATTTCAACGCTGGAAATCCAAACTTTGAAGCACTTCTGGGGCGGGCTGTGGTGGCGCACACCTTTAATCCCAGCACTTGGAAGGCAGAGGCAGGTGGGTTCTGTGAGTTCAAGGCCGGCCTGAAGAGCTAGTTCCAGGACAGGCTCCAAAGCAACAGAGAAACCCTGTCTCAAAAACAATAAACAAACAAAAAAAAACACCCACTTCTGATTCCACATTTTACACAGATAGTGTACTACTTTAGCAAAAGAAAAAAAACCCCAGCAAACTGGATATTTGGTTTCAATGACTAATCCTACCTTCAAGGTAAGAGAACCAAAAGCTAGGAGGAAAACAACCCAAACAGACACAGCTTTTAAAAGGAGCTCTGGTAAAGTTTTATTAAAGGAAAACTTTTTACTTTTCACCAGTCTGTTCTGGCATGCTTCTAATAATGTCAGAATCACCTAAAAAATAAAAATAATAGTTTTACAATTCATGTAATGGCAACTGGTAATCACAGAACTTCCCTAGAGTGGCTACGTGTTCTTAAGTCAAGCAGACAGATTAGCCCCATCTGCAAATTATTACAGTGGTTGCTGTCACTCTTGAGATCAATCAAAAATACCTTAGAATCTCAACCATCCTAGGAAAACACAGAACACACATAATCAGACCAGTCAATCAGACCAGTCTTGTCACCAGCATTTAGAAAACCAGGCCTAGGTACAGACCTAGGTCTGGGGACACATGCATGGTCTTACTATAGCGAATATCTAGCCTGTCCTGATTATCAGAACCAGAACAGCGAGAAGATTCGCAGTGCTCTACAAGGCACTAACCCTAAGCTAAAGACAAGACTGCACTTGCAGACTGTTTATGTCCAAGCCATGAAGATTACTTTTTGCCTATTACCACCTTCTAAAAAAACTATTAAGTGCCTCATTAAATGAAATTCATAATCTTAAAGTTAAATTGTTTTTTATTTACAGCAAAGCCAATTACAATATACTGGCATTCTCTGCAAAATAAAATTATGGCATCTTCCAATATTAAAATCCTACTGGCCTGAACTCAGGCACCAAAGCCACTGTCTTGTATAAATATTGTATGATTTATTTAAAAAGCATACCTGGGTCAATGATGGCCAGTGTGCATACTCTGTAGTATTTTCCACACGCTGTGCCCAACTCAATGTTATTGCCACTGTAGTGATGGACACCAGTTTTAGCCAACATGGCATAGTATTCTATTTCAGATTTCCTTTGGGAACAAAAAAGCAGAATAAAATGCCATACCAAGATACTGATAGACTGTTACCACAAACTAATGAGGCTTTTAACAGTAACCGATCACTTCCAAGTAAAGCTTGTAAATACCTGCTTGATTTGGGTGGTGTTCAATTCCAAGTATGTGCTATTCACTTAAGTTTAAAATGTGTAAGGTACTTATAAAGGTTAGCAGAAAAGGGTATGAGAGACATTCAAAAGTCAATGTGGATAAACAGCTCAGACAAAGCTGGTGGTATTCCCTCCTTACCAAAGCCCCAAGGTTCAGTTCCCAGCACTCACAACTCCACCTCCAGGGGGTCTGACACAGGAATTCACTCTTCTCACACACACACAATTACAAATAAACTTTAAAAAAAATGTTAAACTTGGCAGTGTCCAAAACTTTATGCATTTCTCAAGTCAACAACAGGTACTGTGTACCATTTTAACTAACAAATTGGAATGGAGGGTAGGATCACCCACTAGCACCCCGAGGACTACATAGAGATAAAGAGCCAACAGCTTCAGTCCCAGCTCAGTGGACACAGACGGTTAGAATGTGAAAGTTCCACTGACCATCAACAGTACTACAAGGAGCTTGGAACCTGAACCCCATCCATCCCGTACCGGGTCTGAGCTCGTGTTTAACAACGAATGTCTATACTGTTACTATAAAGGATCAGTTAAAAAATAGAAACAAACCAAAAAAATCCCTCACACACCTAAAGTTTAAAGTTAGACCAAATACTCCAAATTCTGCCCCTACGTATAGACGCCCTACATAAAAAAGACAGAAGGGGCGCAAGGGCCACAGAAAATCCAGGGGCTTCTAGTTGGCACGTTTCTTTAGCTGTCTTACAATTCTCACCAGGTCCAAACTCGGTGAACCAAGAGTAAACAGATGTTCAGAAAACTGGGCACTGCTAAAGGGGTGATTTTATGACACCTTCAGATCCATAAAACAGACAGAACTTCTGTAAACTAAGACAGTGCTTCTCTGAATGTGTATCGTTTGTCTTCCTCCTGTCACACACGTTTCAAAGGCACGTTTACAGCGCGCACACACACAAACACACACACCGATGCCATCCACAATGAAGTCAACAGTTGGTCCCACACGCTCCGGTCCCCTCCATTACCTCAAGGCGGGGCAGTTGTTGGCGAGGATCACCAATTTCGCTTTGCCCTGTCTGATCATCTTCAGAGTCTGTTTGTATCCCAGCACGTACTTCCCACTTTTCATAACAAGCTGGAGCCGAGAGTTGATCGACTCCAGAGACTTTTTCTACAAGGCAAACATTGGAGACTTGAAAACCGGGTGTAGCCATCTCAAAACCAAACCCGGTTCCAGACTTCGGGAACTGGACCCTTTAAGTCACCGTGAGCCTCTCTGCACGCTGGCGGCACGCGGACGACCACGGGGCTCCCATCCACCCGCCCCGGCCCAGGCCCGGCTCTCCACGTGAATCGGCTTCCGGGCCCCGGCATCTTCACTCACCGTCTTCTTTGCGGCCACCATCTTCCTGCCTTAGGTGCGGGACGGGCCCCAACCTAGCACGCAGAGAGGGCAGAAGAAAGGATTAGCATCAGGAGCGCAAAACGCTAAGCAGCGGGGCTCCTCGCGCCCCCCAATCCTCCACCCGGCAGAGCTCACTCACCAAGACCAGCCGCCAAGATGGCCGGGGAGCGAGAAAGGAAGGAGCTCCCACAATGCAAAGCTCTTCTAGGCGAGCCGAGGGACGCTGGGACCGGAAGCGGAAGTAGAAGCCGAGCCCAAGCGGAAGGGCCTCTCCTAGAGCGGACTGCCGCCGTGGGTTGCTATGGGGACCGGGTTAGATCGGTGGCTGGGTGCGCTGTACAACATAGCCCGGCCGCGGGTGCAGCGTAAGGGTCTCGGTTTGTCTTCCGATGCTGCGGGCTGAGACCACGGAGAGCGGGAGTTGCATAGAACTCCGAAGGCAGCCGAGGCGGCGGCGACCTGAGTCCGGCCGCTGCTGAGTTTGTCTCTGACTGACATTGGCCCCAGCGGCTCCGGGAGAACACCAGGACGCAGCTCTCCCCGTGTCTGCCTTTCGCGAGCGTAGGCAGCTCTGTCCTCCCGCCGCAGGCTTCCCCAGACACCTTTGCACGGGGACGGCAATGAGTCCAAACTCGATGAGGTGACTCACCGAGTAAGTGCACTTCCCGCCAAGCGGATGGACTGAGTTCGAGACCCACGTGTGGAAGGGGAGAGAGCCTGCTCCAAGTTTGTTCGCTGATCTGCGCTTGGACGCACATTAGTATACAGAAGTTAAGAAATAACCATAATAAAACTATTTTTAAAACATTTTCGTTGCGAAACTTGGACGGTTGTATAAATGAAACGTGAAATATTCAAGAGAAAAAAAAGATTGAAAGCTTTTTACTACTTACTCGTACCAACAAGCCCGGGGCTGCTGAGAGTGTTAGGCCGGTAAACGTGAGGACCTAAATTCTTTGCCTAAATCTCCTCCACCCTATCCCCCAAAAATGTCTTGGCGTGTTTGTACATGTAATTTCGTTTCCGGAACATAGACCGATATCTGAGACTAGCTGGCCAGCTACTGGGAAGCACACCAGAAATTGGCCCATGGCCTCTACCTAGCAAACATAAGCACAAAAAAGGAAGATCGGGTTAGTAAATAAGTTGTAAATACTTTGCCCTGGAGGTTGGGAGAGGGAAGAATGCCACACACACACACACACACACACACACACACACACACACACACAACCTCCACCTAATAATTTCTTTGTTTTTCGAGACGGGGTTTCTCTGTGTAACAGCTTGGGCTGACCTCCATCTCACAGAGATCCATCCGTCTGCCTCTGCCTGGGATGGATAAAATAATTTAAAAATTATTTAAAAATTAAATAAAAATAATTTAAAATAATTAATTTAAAAATAATTTAAAATAATTTGAAAATTATCCCTGGGCCATGTTGTCATGGTGGCCTATGCCTTTAATCCCAGGAGAGGCAAACAATCTCTGTAAATTGATCTTAAATAAAAAAAAGAAACTAGCCTAACTTACCTAACCATCACACGCACACACCCTGTGAGATAGTAACCTAAACATCACACGCACGCACACCCTGTGAGATGGTAACCTAACTTACCTAACCATCACACACACACACACACACACACACACACACCCTGTGAGATAGTAACCCTGTTATTCTCAAACTTTTACAGCAGATGTATTGCAAAACTAGGAACAGAATCAGGTATGTAGATTAGATAATTTTACAATTTAAACTTACTCAACTCTTGGGGCCCATTTTGATGTGAATGTGACCAAACAATAGTGTTAGATTACCATACTATTTGCTTTAACATTTAGGAATAAATTACGTAAGGTTATGCAAATTCAAACAATTGCCTTCTACTATCCTCATTCTGTAAACATACTAATCTTTTTTATATTTATTTATTTATTTATTATGTATACAATATTCTGTCTGTGTGTATGCCTACAGGCCAGAAGAGGGCACCAGACCTCATTACAGATGGTTGTGAGCCACCATGTGGTTGCTGGGAATTGAACTCAGGACCTTTGTAAGATGAGGCAACGCTCTTAACCACTGAGCCATCTCTCCAGCCCCCAACACACTAATCTTTAAATGAACTTTAAATCTAACAAACACTCATCTGAAATTCAATGACATAAGCCTAGATAAGAGTTGTGACATTGCTGGTTAAAATACTGGGGGGGGGGGGGCCTCAGCAGGGGGATGGGGGAACGGGGGACTTTTAAATCTGTGCTTTTCTTTGCTGACCTCTTTGGTTTATGGTTGTCATGCTATTATGAAGTGGAATGTCTGCTTAAGAGCACTTTGCGGAGCTCACCAAGGCCAGCTGGACTGGGAGTGATGGAGCCTGTGATCAAACTGGACACTCTGAATGTGGCTGGCAATGAAGGGTGACTGAGAAGCCAAGGACAATGGCACTGGGTTTCGATTCTACTGCGTGGACTGACTTTGAGGGAGCCTGGTTTGTTTGGATGCTCACCTTTATAGACCTGGATGGAGGGGAGAGGACCTTGAACTTCCCACGGGGCAGGGAAACCTGACTGCTCTTAGGACTAGAGGGGCAGGGAAGGGAAAAGGGAGGCGGAGAGAAGGGGGAAATTTTTAATAAATAAATTAATTAATTAAAAAAAGAAATATATACATATATATTTCTAAATATAATCTGCCCAGTCTGTAAAGAAAAAGCACTTTGCATTACAGTTCTCTTCAGGCACAGTTTGGGAATGTTCTTGTCCTCCTGTTCACATTAGACATTCACGTATGTATGAATACATACACCTTTCCCCATGCTCAGATATTCTTGGTAGGTACTTGGGTCCAATGGACCACACTCAAAACTAAGTCATACTAAGACACGGTGTAAGGTGTAACTGCTATGTGAAGAAATTGTTATGGACATCATGTACTCATCCCAAATGAGACCAGGTACCAGGTCCTTTGTATTGCTGGTCCTTCAAGGTGCTTTCAGAAGTACTTAGGCTGTATCTCGATTGGTAGAGTGTTTGCTGATCATACACAAAGTCCTGGATTCGATCCCCAGTACCACCTCAAGCTGGGTGTGCTGATGCATACTGTGTAATCCCAGCGCTTGGGAGGGGGAGAGACCCAGATCAGAAGCTCTAGCTTTAGGTCACCTTCCGTTACATAGCAAGTTCAAAGGCCTCCTGAGACCTTGCCAAAAAAAAAAAAAAAAAAAAAAAGGTAGGATAGTTAGATTAAGAACATAATGGCGGGCTGGAGAGATGGCTCAGCGGTTAAGAGCACTGCCTGCTCTTACAAAGGTCCTGAGTTCAATTCCCAGCAACCACATGGTGGCTCACAACCATCTGAAATAAGATCTGATGCCCTCTTCTGGCCTGCAGGCAGACATACAGACAGAATATTGTATACATGATAAATAAATAAATAAATGATTTTTTTAAAAAAGAACATAATGGCTGTTCACAAATGTGAACATACTCTTAACAAACCTTAACTTAGGGTCATGAAAATGTCATAGACCATATTAATCTTTTTTTTTAATAGAGGATAACACTAGAAAGAAAGTGATTAACTTTTCAAAGATTAAGTAAAACCAAATGTGGTCTCCCATACCTGTGATTTTAACCATCAGGAGGTAAAGACAAGAGAGTTAGGAGTTCAAGACTATCCTTGTGTGCATAGCAAATTCAAGGTTAGCCTGGACTACTTCAGACCATGTGTCAAAAACAAATTAGGATTGAAAGTTGAAGTCTGAAATAGTAACTGAAATTTGGAGGCAGGCACAAATGAAGCCTTGAAAACCAGAGTGGAAGCAAAACCGGAAGGATGGACAGTGGCAAGCAGAGTTGGCTTTCAAATAATTTTCGTGAGAGGAAAGATCAGGCTGGCCTTGAGCTCAAAGAGATCCACCTGCCTCTGCTTCCAGAGTGCTAGGATGAAAGGCGTGCACCACCATGCCCAGATCTGGTTTTGTTTGTTGTTGTTGTTGTTGTTGTTGTTGTTGTTGTTTTTCCTGTTTCGGACAATTTTACTGTGTATATTTCAGCTCTGCTTGAGCTATTTTATAGCATGCATGAAAAGTTCTTTTTAAATTATAAACTTTTTTTTTTTAGTATTGTATTTTCAAACTGGTGTCTTGTAAGACATCAGTTAGGCAACAAGGCCCCAGGCTTAAATAGGCTCCTAGACCTTAGCACAACTAACTCCATGATGGAAGTACCATCCACGCTGTAATACTCAGCATGTAGACAGCACCACCTGCCAAACCTCCGTGAGTTAAAGGACAGAGCTAGTTCCAGGACAGCCAAGGTTAAAACATATAAACCCTATCTAAAAACAAACAAACAAACAAACAAAAAAACCCTCCATGCTACAAAGCTATGAAATGTACATGCTTTTGACTTTGACATCTGGATGTTATCACTCCTGAATTGCTTCTTTGTATCTAGCATTTCAGTGGAATGTTGAGAGAGTAACAACAGGTAATTATGAGAGAAGAAAATTAACACAAGGACCTTCCTTGTTTCTCCTTCACCAACATTGCTACCCCAGCTTCTGAAAACAAGACCAGATTGAAAACCACAGGCACCTACATGCATTGTGCTCCGTTTTGTTTTGTTTTTCCTTCTTGCTTGCTATGAGAATTGGACATGGCAGGCTGCATTTGCTGTGAGAGCACAAACAGCTCTAGCAAGTTCATCTGCTGGTTGTTGGTTCAGTGCATCGACCCTTGCTGTCCTGCGGTTAAAATGATCATATTCATTAACAATCACTTGATGTTCACAGTAAGGCATGCCTCAGTGCTTTGTGTGACTCAGCCTTCATACTCTTACCAGCCACCTGCACGTTAACTATGCTGATGAACGTGTTGATAAGAAGAGGGGACGATGAAGACTTGGCAAATGATCAATGTGCCCTCGTCCAAACATTCTGAACACTGAGGGGTCAAGAGAGAAGGGCAGTTATCCACCTACCCGCCCTTTCTACCGATAGTAGAGGCAGAAGTACTTCTCTTGTAGTCCTTTCTGCTCAGATAAGGGGTGTTTCTGATTCTGTCTTCACAGCCATCTCATATCCTTGAATCGAAAGCCAGCCAGAGTAATGCTTTCCCTCTCTAATTTTGTTTGCTCTTGCCATTTTCTATCTAAAGTAGCATAAGGTTTTTATACCCTTTGATACAAAGAACCAAGCGAAAATTCTTCCTCCGTGTGTTTGCTATAGTGGGCACTTTTGGAAAATAAAGTGCTATCTATGAACTTGGTCTTTGGGTTAATTGGTTTTTTCTTTCTTTCTTTCTTTCTTTCTTTCTTTCTTTCTTTCTTTCTCTCATTCTTTCTTTCTTTCTTTCGACCAAACTGGTCTCAAACTCACAGAGATTCACCTGCCTCTGGAATTAAAGGTGTGCACCACCCAGAAAGTTGATATTTCTTAGGGTCATTTATTATTTTTTGGAGGGGGTTCTCTGTAGGTTTGGAGCCTGTCCTGGAACTAGCTCTTGTAGACCAGGCTGGAAAAGTGGCTCAGCACTTAAGGGCACTTGTGTAAACTGCTCTTCCAGACATCCCAGGTTAGGTTCCCAGCACCCATGTAGAGGCTCACAACCATCCCTAACTCCAGTTCCAGAGGATCTGATGCCCTCTTCTAGTCTCTAGGGGCTCAAGGCACACAGGTAACACACAGACCACACAGACGTGTAAAAATAAAACTAGTGCCTTGGCGTGGCGGTGCACACCTTTAATCTCAGCACTCAGGAGTCAGAGGCAGGTGGATCTCTGTGAGTTCTAGGCCAGCCTGGTCTACACAGTGAGTTTCAGGACAGCCAGGACTATGTAGGGACCCTGTCTCAAATAAGAAACAAATTAAAATAGTCATTTCTTAATTAATTAAAAGAACAAAGCAAGATTATGGGTACCGCTCCAGATCGAAGCAACCAAAAAGAAGCACGGTACCAAAGTCATGGATGTAGTTCTGGATGTATCAAGAGCCCGAAGCTGACTGTGGACGGCAGGTCTAACAGTTTAGTATCCGTTGTTGAACTTCCTTGTGGTAACTATGTTGAAATTATGTAAGAGGATAAGACTGTCATTGCACATCTAGTCTACCAATCAATAGCCTCTGGCTACAGCCGCCGCCTCCCCTCCCTGGCTATTTAGGACGTTTATTCACACCACCCCTCCCAGTGCTTAGCTCTGTCCCTCATCCCATCTCGGAGCCTTTTCCCATTTACTTCCCCGAACCCTCCGCCTCCTGTCCAGCTGGTTCTTTGGTTTTAGTTGTCCCTGCTCTCTCTTGCCTGCTGGTCCACCAGCTGTCTGGCACTCTGCCCTCTCGGCTTCTATCCGGATACCTGTGCCTGTCTCCTCGCCCCTCCAGGTGCTCACCCAGTCACCAGGGCCCCCGCTGCGCGCGTGCGCCTTGGACTTTTGGGCAGCAAGATCACACAGTTGGGAGAAACTTCAGCGGCTGGGTTTGCGGTGAGCATCGCATCTAAGCCTCGCGACCGATACTCGCGTGAAGCTGGGCCAGGTGTCTACCGTTTTGCGCAATGGGTTGCTCCAGCAGCGCCCTCAACAAGGCGGGCGACAGCAGCAGGTTCCGCAGCGGAGGTGAGCAAGTGCCCCACTCTGGACCCACTGCGGCTAGGGGCACTACGTCTGGGGGGGGGGGGGGGTCTGTGTTCTGCTGCCCCGAGATGCAGAGGGTGCAGCCCTGGCTCAACCTCGCCAGCAGGGGGCAAGCTCCTTCCCGGAGGAGAAGAGCGCTGGGACTGGTGTGTCCATCCGGGTGGGGTGCATCTGCAGCAGGACGCAGGGTGCAAAGAGTTGTGACCTGCCTTACCCGGCGGGATTGAGGTTCACGGCGCTAAATTACTGAGTTAGCTGCGACATTCTCCTCACCATACAGATGAGAAATACCCCGTTGAGAGCTCTATTTTGCTCTCACGTGGACGGTTCAGCATCACCGGATGATAAAAATGCAGAGAACACACACACTTGTGCTTTCCCCCCTCCATATACTAGGTTCCTTCAGGGTTTTTTTTTTGGAGTTTTTTTTTGTTTGGTTTGGTTTTGTTTGGCTTTGGTTATTCGAAACAGGGTTTCTCTGTGTAGTTTTGGAGCCTGTCCTGGAACTCACTGTGTAGAACAGGCTGGTCTCAAACTCACAGAGATCGGCCTGCCTCTGTCTCCAGAGTGCTGGGATTAAACGCGTGCGCCATCACTGCCCGGCTTCCTCTGGAGGTTTTAAAAGGTCACACACACTTTCCCCTGTCCCCGATTTATATATTCTCGAGGCATGTGTGTGTGACGGAAGGTAGTCATCAATCATTGCTGTAAAGAAATTCTGCCGGCACATTTTAATCATCTGCTTACTGTCCACAGATGCCGGAGTTGCTCCGGTAACTCAGGGAAGCTGAGAATACAGCCTAAACACGGCAGACAAGTTATCAAGTCCATTCTGGCAGTGATAAACACTGTAGAAAGAATAGATGTAGATGAATGAACTCGAGAGTGACTACATTTTACAGTCAGCCCACTTCCTAAATTATTTATAACTTGCTCGCATTTAGGACATTGATAGTTGAGTGGATTCTTCAAGCAGCTTGTATTCTTCATCAAGGCTCACTTTAAGGGCAAATTTATCTTCTAATTCCTTTTCCTGGGTGTGAGCATCCTGTGTTACTACAGTAGCAGTGATTTTTGATTGTTTTGTTTGGTGGCAGAGACCCTAAGATTATCATGCAAGCTGCTTCAGAGCTCAGCCTATACAATATGTCCTACTCAGAAACATGTTGCTGTTGTTTTTTGTGCTGTGTGACCGACGAGATTTCTGCCTTCTGTAAACAAGCAGAAAGCCAGGAAGTAGACAAAACCATATGTGCAAATGATTCAAATCCCTTGAATACTGACGGTATAAAGACATGGAAAGTTTATTCCTAGTGCACAGTGCCTCCTGACTCTTTTCCCTAAAAAAGCTTGGAAATCTCATAGCTCAACAGTCTCCTTCGAGGCCAGTACACTGAGAAACTGTCTTCATGTTCACACCTCATTTTATAAAACCAGATGGATTTTTGCATTTGCCCCGTGGTATTTCCTTACTGGTATCCACATGCAAAACATAAGAAACACTGATGCTTTCACAAGATAATATTATCACAGTTTCTCTCACTCACTCTTGGAGGTATCTTGGGTTAAAAAGCAGAGCACTTTGTTAGAGTGGGTGTAGCTCAGTGGAAGAACCTGTGGGCAGTATGCCCAAGGCCCTGGGCAAAATGCCCAGCACACACACACACACACACACACACACACACACACACACACCAGGAATGTAACTATGTAACTGAAGTACTGGCAAATGTATCTAATCAATAGAATGGGGGCTTTAGTTCTCTCCTTCAGGAAACATTTGATCACTGTATTAACAATTCATATGAGTTAAACTCTTTGTTTTTTACCCTTGCTTTCGTTTGTTGTACGTTTTCATAAATGTTGTTCAGGAAGAAATGTTAAACACTTGCCAACAAGTTGAAGTGTATATAAAATTGGTTAATATCTTGCATGAATTCCTTGAAACATACTGAATCAATCAACAGGTGTATTGCCTCTGAGCCTCCATGGGACAATACACTTGTAATTGAATACTACTGTATTTTCAGCATTTCAACTTTGTGATCTTGGAGGCCTTATAAATAATTCATTCCTCTCTCTACAGCTTAAAATTTCTTTAAATCCTAGATACAGCCCAAGTTGGTGTATTGTGCTTTTAGGTAAAGACAGTTTATTAAATGCCCGTCATATGCATTCATTAGCCGCATGCTCCAGTGCCTAACAATGTTTAGTCTGTAATGGGCTCTTGGTGAAAAATTAAGTCGAAGAGGAAGCGTCAGTCTGGAGAACTGTCCCAGCTGGCAAAAGTGCAGGATTACAAAGGGAACGGCAGTTAGTCTAGAATGGCAAGAGAGTATGAAAGACTACCAAACTCTCACCTCCTTCTCTCCGTTCTGAACTGTTATCAGAAACGTTACATGATTGCCGTCAGGTTCCATTTGAGAATACTCAAATCAGATCACCAAAACCGTATTATTTGGGGGTGGCTTTTTTCCCTCTGATACAAGGTCTCCCTGTACAGCCCTACCTGGTCTGGAACGTGAGAGATCTGCCTGCCCCATCACCACGCCTAGCTTCGGATCTCCGAAATCTTATGCATGTCATACTTCTCACTTCCACTGTGGAACACTACTGCCTCACTTGAGGTTCCTGCTGCTGCGATGAGCATCATGATGAACAGGAACTTGGTAGGGAAAGGGTCTGTTTCAGTTCACAACTCTCAGACCACAGTTCATCACCAAGGAAAGTCAGGGTGGAACTTGAGGGTAGGATCCTGGAGGCAGGAACGGAGGCAGAAGCCGCAGAGGGATGATACTTACTATGTTGCTCCCCATGGCTTGCTCAGTTCCTTTTCCTATGTAATCCGGGACCACCTGCCCAGGTTGTGGCACTGCCCACAGTGACCTGGACCTACCCCCATCAGCAATCAAGAAAATGTCCCACAGGCCAATCTGTTGGTTGCATTTTCTCAATTGAGGCTCCCTTTTCCCAAATGACTCTAGCTTATGTCAGGTTGACAAAATAAAAACAAAACCAAGAAACAGGGCAAGAAACCTAACCGGACAATTTCTAAGAACAAACTATCAAAGCAGTAGTTAGCCTTGCTGCAGTTAAAAAACAACAAAATCCAACAGACTGTTTTACCAGCAGCTTGTTTGGGAGATGTTTAATTTTTTTAAAAATGTATTTATTTTGTTTTATATGTAAGAGTGTTTCATCTGCACGTGTGTATGTGCACCATGTGCATGCAGTGCCCAAGGAGTTAGAAGAGGGCTTTAGAGTCCCTAAACTAAACTGGATAACTCTCTGTAATAGTGATGAGCCACCATGTTGGTGCTAGGGATGGAACCACTCTCCAGCCTCCCTGGGAGGTGTCAACGGAGCCACATTTAACGATATAGAAAGTGCCATCAAATTCTGACCAAGATCTCCCAAGAGCTCAACTTGCAAGCAGTTTACTGTTCTGGGGACCCTTGAGCTTCTGCACAGACTCAGTCACAGAGAAGATGAACTTATTGGGTTTCATCTGTGACTTCTTTTTTATTGAACACCACAAATGATACATTTGATTCAGTCATACTGCCTCGGGGTATGAAACCCCTCTGAGAAATGAGAGTAGAATGCTGGTTAAGAGTGATGGGGTAGTTCAAGGAATGGGAAAGTGTAGGCCAAAGGGACAGAGTTTCAGTTATGTAGGAAGAACAAATCCACAGATATAAACATTATAAAGACAACAGCTAACAGTATTACATATTAGTTTGCCAAGAGAGTAGAATTAGGTGGTTTTATTTTTATTTATTTATTTATTTTGTAATTTTTTTTTTAATTTTAAGCACATTGATGTGACAGTGTTAGATTCCTGATGCAAACTGAGTTACAGACAGTTGTGAGCTGCCATGTGGGTGCTGGGAGTGTTTGAACCTGGGTACTCTGGAAAGGCAGCTAGTGCTCTTAACCATTGAGCCATCTCTCCAACTCCTTAGGTGGTTTTATACATTGAAAAAAAAGACAAAGAATCAAGGTAAGTCTATTAAAACATGGAGCTGGTGAGATGGCTCAGTGGGGAAAAGCTGCCTCACAAACTTAAGGACCCAGCCTGTGAGCTGTGCCCAGAACCCATGGAAAGGCAGAGGAGAATGCTGAGCCACAAAGTCGTCCTCTGACCTCTATACATGTATGATAGTACAGCTCCGATCACACACTATGTCTGAATGTGAGTGTAGCGCCTGTTGTGAGCCGTTGATGCAGGTGATGGGAATAAACTCTGAACTTGGGCTTTTGACCACTGAGCTGTCTCTCCAACTTCCAGCTCTCTGTTTCGAGACAATTTGTAGTTGAATCTAAACATCTCTGGGCTAGACCGGCTGGCTAACGAGCGTGAGACATTTGTCTGTCTCTGGGCCCCGCAGTGTTGGGAGTATAGGTCCATCTTCTGGGTGGTTCTGGGGATCTGAGCCGAGGTTCTCAGGTTTGCTTGGCACTTTACTAACTGAGCTATTTTTGTGGACCCGGAAGACCCTATTTTCTAGGCTCAAATGTCAATCAGTCAGCTGATACTGGAGAGAGAGCTAATTGGTTGCATAGGAACACAATGTGTTCTGTTAATGGTGGGTGGATATTTGCTCTCACTCAGCAGATATGGGTTCCCCGCCTACCCCCAGGTCTTTCCACGGCTTCTGAAGCCAGAGTGGTAGGTATGTGCCTGGGGACAGAGGAGGAAACCGGCCTCCGGCTGCTCCAAATTCAGAGCAGTGCCTGCTTCCTTACAGCAGCCCCTGCATTTTTTTACAGAGCCCTGAAAAGTGTGAGGAAAGAGGATTTTGTTTTGAGAAGAAAGGATAAATAGGTTGAAGTTCACATTTCTAAAATGTATGGAAGCAAATTCTAAGCATTACAGCCATTTCTGGTAATGGAACTGGAACCTAAAACTTGTATCCACTTCACAGGCTTTAAAGTCCCCAGAGGTCTCTTCCCCATTCTGCTATCTTCATGCTAACACC